GAGGCCAGGGTCACTGCTAGGTATAAGGTTATGGGGGGGCCAGGGTCACTGCTAGGTATAAGGTTATGGGAGGCCAGGGTCACTGCTAGGTATAAGGTTATGGGAGGCCAGGGTCACTGCTAGGTATAAGGTTATGGGAGGCCAGGGTCACTGCTAGGTATAAGGTTATGGGAGGCCAGGGTCACTGCTAGGTATAAGGTTATGGGAGGCCAGGGTCACTGCTAGGTATAAGGTTATGGGAGGCCAGGGTCACTGCCAGGTATAAGGTTATGGGAGGCCAGGGTCACTGCCAGGTATAAGGTTATGGGAGGCCAGGGTCACTGCCAGGTATAAGGTTATGGGAGGCCAGGGTCACTGCCAGGTATAAGGTTATGGGAGGCCAGGGTCACTGCTAGGTATAAGGTTATGGGAGGCCAGGGTAGCTAGGTTATGGGAGGCCAGGGTCACTGCTAGGTATAAGGTTATGGGAGGCCAGGGTCACTGCTAGGTATAAGGTTATGGGAGGCCAGGGTCACTGCTAGGTATAAGGTTATGGGAGGCCAGGGTCACTGCTAGGTATAAGGTTATGGGAGGCCAGGGTCACTGCCAGGTATAAGGTTATGGGAGGCCAGGGTCACTGCCAGGTATAAGGTTATGGGAGGCCAGGGTCACTGCTAGGTATAAGGTTATGGGAGGCCAGGGTCACTGCTAGGTATAAGGTTATGGGAGGCCAGGGTCACTGCTAGGTATAAGGTTATGGGAGGCCAGGGTCACTGCTAGGTATAAGGTTATGGGAGGCCAGGGTCACTGCTAGGTATAAGGTTATGGGAGGCCAGGGTCACTGCTAGGTATAAGGTTATGGGAGCCAGCCACTGCTAGGTATAAGGTTATGGGAGGCCAGGGTCACTGCTAGGTATAAGGTTATGGGAGGCCAGGGTCACTGCTAGGTATAAGGTTATGGGAGGCCAGGGTCACTGCTAGGTATAAGGTTATGGGAGGCCAGGGTCACTGCTAGGTATAAGGTTATGGGAGGCCAGGGTCACTGCTAGGTATAAGGTTATGGGAGGCCAGGGTCACTGAGAGGTCATTAAACCATAAAATGTTCTATAAACGGAGTATTATATGACAGAGCCTGTCTGTGAGCAAACACCCTGTGTTTATAGTGTGTAGAAATAATGCCTAAACTTATAAATGGTCACACACTGGAAATAATGTCTAGACAGAGTTATGGAGCCCTGTGTGTGACCATTTATAAGTTTAGGCATTATTTCTACACACACTATAAAGATATCCATTTTTATAAACTTATAAATGGTCACACACGGCTTCATAACTCTGTCTGTATAAATGGATATCTTTATAGTGTGTGTAGAAATATTATCTATCTGTGTATGTAAAACATAAAAATAAAAAGTGATAGAATGTAGACAGCAGCTACTGTCTGGGAGTGTAACTTCCATCAATCTAAGGCAGACTAGAAAATCTGCCCTAAAATTAACTGAATGTTACCTCTTAGCCCTAATTAATAATAATAATAAAAAAAAACTAAAGTGTGTATTTTGGGGAAAAAACTGCCTTCTGAAAGATAAACTGACATTTAGTGTTGTTTTACTATGTCTTTTAGTAGCCCTCTGTGTCATTCCATTCCAATAATACATATTTCACTCTTGATATGTAACCATTGCCAATATGGAAAGTCAACTACCTTCTTTCTGGAAATATATAATCGGGAAGTATACTGCATGGGCAGTTTAGCCACAGATTGAAGGGCAAAACATAATCTATTTAAACGTGGACTTATTTAGGAGTTAGTCCCAAGAGCATAGTTGGATCTCACACTGATATATGCACTGGCAACATATCTCCGGGAAAATTAAGATTCATTCAGATTGTTTGGGGACAAAATAAATGAAAATCTTATTGAGAAATCATATTTTACAATTATTATAACCATGGACAAGCTTGGTGCACCAGGCAGCTGTGACCTTTAAAGCTTCATAGAAAATGGAACTGTTCTTATTTGTAGAATAGCAGTACATTCCACAGCTCTGTATCGATTACTGTATTATTGTGCCACAATAAGCTATGTTACAACTAGAACAGTACAAGGAGTTACCATAAGGTGGAGTTTACATTCTAAATAAATATGTTGCTTTGAATGGTCTACCAAAATGCAAAATATAAGATAAAACAGCGGGCTTTGAACATTATCTTCAGCTCACCGCAACACACTATTTAGAGAATGAATCCTATAGATTTAGGATAGTTAGTGGAAAACTTATTTCATGTCCATTCTGCACTTAAATGTCTTTTCAAAGGCACTATGACCTTGCACATTGGCCATCTATCAGATTAGTCTGTGTGACATTGTGCATGCAGCTCCTGTTAGACTGGGTTTGTATTTAGTGAAAGGGACATTTGTCATAGCCCAAATAGTCAGACATTTTTTCTGTATCAGTCCTGACATCTTACTATGTCTGTAATATACACCCTTTTATTATATAGATTTGCAGAATGTTGTCTTCAAGGCTTCTGAGCTTAGTTGGAAGAAGAGCGCTTTCTACCTCTGCCTGTCTGCAAGGACATGGTAAGTAAAGTTATTAAAGATATGTGATATGAAATCTCTTTGTGTATGTGAATAATTCATTTAATGTGAGTAGTACATCCTTTTTATGTAAAATAAATGAACTATTAAGAAATAAATTTTAAACAGTCTGATTTCAGTGTCCACATACAATATACATTTTAAGAGCATTGGCAAAAATTGCATTTGTGTGTGTATAACATACACACACAAATACAGGATACCAAATTTCCACTAGCCATTTGTGAGTAATTTGTCCCTGGTGAGTAGAAGTTCACCTATGGTTAGATTCTCAAAGATTACAGGTTTTTAAGCCATGTGTGCGTGTAGTAATAAAATGTATTGATCATTTCTAGACATGTTAGTTCTTGAACCCTGACTTGTTATACTATTATATGCTAAATAAATGCCTTATCCTTTTAAGCTGGTGTTGTGAAAGTCGAATCGTACAGCCTTCCTATATATGTGGATCGCCGGGAAATGCCACTTCCAGATATTGCTTACACTGACAGTCTTACTGCTGAACAGAAAGCTCTGAAAGAAAAGGAGAAAGGCACATGGGCATCATTAAGTGTTAATGAGAAGCTAGAGTGTAAGTCCTTTTGTGATGTACATTATTGGTGATGTATACCCTGTTAACATATTGTTACTAACAAACTCTTTCTATTCTACTGCCAGTAATGCATTTAAGCTACCAGTATCTTAGATTTGACCAGTGGTATGCACTCCTGTCCATGCTTTTATTAAATCATTTAACTCAAATTCATGTCTCCTCAAATGTCAGATTTCTAATTTAGCAAGCCCCAGTCACCTAAAGGCTAACTCTAAGCACCATCCTGACATTAACTTATCTGTTAAGATAACTACAATCCTCGGTTGCTCACTGACCTGGGCATACAAACTTTTCCAGAACTCGGTGAAGTATTTTACTTACTGAAAGGAAACCTACTCACATCTTTAACAATTGAAAGGTCTTGATTTCCAATTAAATAGCTAGTTTTTGTAAGTCACATTTGAAATATTTATAAAAAAAAAGTCTAGCTGAAAAATAGTCAAGGAAACCACAAGACTACCCCTAGACAAACTATATTATGTGTTCAGAAACAGCGCACACAATGGCACATGCTATATGCCATATAAGGGGATTGTCTAACAGTTCAAAGCATTAGAAATCCTAAAGGAAGATACTAATGAGATGGTGCTCTCAAGATTAGCTCATGTTTTCCCTGGGGTTGCAGGTGATGCAAACATGCATATTTTGATCCTTTCCAAGATTAAGTAAATTTTGGGTACATGTGTAAAGCCTTATCTAGAAATTCACTCGGATCAGGCTTTAGCTCTGTTGTTTACTAGATCTATTTCTTCTTAATATTTTGCAGGGCATAAAAAAGACTCTTCTCATTCCTATTGCAGCTAAAACACGTTCTATACTTTCCTCATAACATTTCCCTCTCTATCGGGTACTTGATCCATTATTTATTTTGACAAAGAATATTGTGTGGTTTAGGTTAGACTTTTTTTTTTTTTTTTTTAATTAATCTCCAGACATAGTTTTTTTTTTTTGGCCTTCTACCTTTTGTATCATATGTGATGGAAATTTATACAATGCATATGTTTCTGTAGCTGTAAAAAAAATAATACAAATATATTGTTTTATCAACTTCTTGTAGTTTACATAAAACTCTCTATTTTGAAATTATATTTTATTGACTTTTTTTTATTTTTAAATAACTTTTACAGTGTACCGTATAAAATTTAATGAGACTTATGCTGATATGAACAAGGCATCAAGCGAATGGAAGACTATCTTTGGAGGCATACTCCTCCTAATGGGAGTGACTGGTTTTATTGTAATTTGGCAGAGAAAATATGGTAAGACCCCACTATTTTGCTTATTTCCTATTAAAGACAGCATTCTGCAAACATGATATACTTAATGGGCATTAATCACTACTTGTAGTGTTTTTCTGCAGAATGAATTAAGTGTAATTAAAGTTGCATCATTCAAAATATTCATTTTTTAATGGTCTGTGGATTTGTCTGTTGCAAATAATTTGGCACAATTGGTTTTAATGCGTGTTATCAGCACACACAGCTCTGACATTAATGATTAAGAATTGCTTAAACTGTAAAATGGAATTGGAATAATTTAAATTATTTAGATAACGGTTGCATCACTTGGAGAAATCTGCACTAAATCATTCATGAGACTGGGTAGTAATGTTAGGTTAAGCTTATGTTTTTTTTGTTTTTTTGTAAATTGATAGTAGAAATTTGCACCGGGCTAGGAGACCTGACCAAAAGGAAAATATTTGGACACTTACAGTCCAAAAATATTCTCTTATTTAATTTTAAGATATCCTCCTGGTAAGTTTATTAAATTCCCTCTACTCTAGAGAAAACCTGAACTAGGATGTCGATGGTGTGTATCACAAGTAGCAAAGTCCAGTAATGACTCACTCTGATAGTGGTTAGGTAACACATTTTGAGATTACAGATTATTCCAGATAATTTTTAGATATTTTTATGTATTTAGCAGGTTGTCCCTTTGTGATCTATTGTACTCTTCCTTTTAAACCTATGCCACCAGCTAAACCTCCATGTCGTTTAGCTAAACCTGCATAGGAAATGGTTTTAGACATTGAGTGTAGATGTAAAACTACATTTATTTGATTTCTATGTTGCCTGTTACAAAATGGATGCCCAATTGGTCATGGTCATGGGCAGCCAATTAACCTATTTTTATTGATAATTCCATGTTTATTCCAAAATAACCCTCAATATTAACTTATTTTCCTCTGTAGTTTTTGGGGATGTCCCGCACACTCTGTCTGAAGAATGGGTTGCTGCTCAGACAAAGAGGATGTTGGACATGAGAATCGATCCAATAGAAGGTTTCTCAGCCAAATGGGACTATGACAAGAATGAATGGAAAAAATAGAAAACTCCATCACTTACCACTCCAATTGCACAGACAATAACCTGTCTGGTCCATTCCTGACCTCATACCTCATTATTTCTTCACTGGAATGTATCCTCCAACCGAATATTACCAATAAAGTGCTGGTTTACTTGAAACGTCTCTATCACCATTTAATAATTTGCCATTTTTGTATTGTGTAATTATTAGAAGATTTTATGTATTTTATACACATTACTATGAATTCCACAGTGACTTGGATATGGGTCCCTATTTTTTTATGAGACTTAAAGGGACACTATAGGTATCCAGCCCACTTCAGCTCATTAAAGTTGTCTGGGTGCAGTCTCCCAGCACCCTTAACCCTGAGCATGTAGTTATTGCAGTTTTTTAATAAACTGCTATAATTACCTTTGTGGGTTAACCCCACTTCTAGTGTCTGTGTACCAGACAGTCACTAGAGGGACTTCCAGATTGTTATGCGACTTTTAGTCTGTCTCCTGACTTCCAGCATCACCGGAATCCCCAAAGGGAAATCATTGTATAATGCTTTCCTATGGGGTAATCCTAATGCAAGCGTGACCATTGCCACACATGCACATTCGGTCTCCTGTGGGGGAGGAACGAAGGTAGACCTGTGCCGAGTGACATCGGCGCTGGACCTAGATAAGTGACAGAAGGAGATTTTAAAACCCTTCTGGACCGCGGAGGGGGTCCTTGATATAGGGGGAAGCTATAGTGCCAGGAAAACAAGTTTTCCTAGCACTATAGTATCCCTTTAACTACACCAATGTAAGTCTGCTATACATACACATTAATGCAGGGAGAGCTTTGTCAAACAAAGTCATTCAGATGGTCTTTGCGAGACCCTTTTAAATGGCACTTCCTGGTTTTATGGCTAGCAAGGGATTATGGGAATTATATGCATTCATTCTAAACTGGATACAAGTAAATGTATATCTGCTTTTTAGCTGTTCACAGATTGCACCATTTACTTGGAGGTACTTCTTACAGGTATAAATGATTGCACACTGTTCAGTTTTTCTATCTACTACAGATTCTGTTTCAATATGTTTGTGGTTAATATCAGGAATTGGCAATTTCAGACTGATTATTATTGACAAAATAACTTATGACAGTATCTAATATGCACTGCTTGTTTGTAGCATTATATAAGAGGAGTAAAAGTCAGCCCTGTCTTTTACAATATAAAGATATCTAGATGGTGTCAAATTTCATGATGCCATGCTTGTTGGCCACGTATCAGTGGAATGCTGAGTTTGCATTTAGTGTGAAAAAGCTGCCTGCACAAACATGGTCAGTACATCTTGGGGAAAATACCGGTCGGTGCTGTGGAAGTGATTTATACTTGGCCCTCTTGCACTTTCACCCAGTAAAGACTAAAATAATATTTACCGGGTCAACTTAAAAGGACAAACTGTTAAAACTATTTATTTTACTGCTAATGAATATAATACTGTGCATAGAAATGACATGACATTAGCAGGCCCTTAACTCTTGTTACGGGCTAATTAATTACATGTCCAGAGGGGTTGAACTCCATATACTGTAATCAGTGTTTCCAAAGAAAATCGCACGTACAGACTCCAGGCACCATAAACACTTCAAATCACTAAATTGGTCATTGTGCTTTGCGTAACCATCTAAACTTACATTCATCCCAGCACAGACAGTGCAGCCTGATCCACCAACGGTTCTGCACTAATCACACATGTCCTGACCAGCAACTGTTATCAAGCTTGTTGACTGACTTCTGTCCTCTGAAATGCTTCTCACAGAGAATCCATTTGAAACTCATTCGGCATCTGGTGTCACATTTTGCATGCTAATGTCAGACATAGAAATAGATTAAAGTAACTGTTTCCTGCAGCAGGGGCAACATCTATGCACCAAAATCTCTTCATTAAAGGACCACTATAGTGCCAGGAAAACACTCGTTTTCCTGGCACTATAGTGCCCTGAGGGTGCCCCCACCCTCAGGGTCCCCCTCCCGCCGGGCTCTGGGGAGAGGAAAGGGGTTAAAACTTACCTTTCTCCAGTGCCGGGTGGGGAGCTCTCCGCCTCCGATCCTCCTTCTCTCCTTCCTTTTGGCTGAATGTGCACGTGCGGCAAGAGCTGCGCGCGCATTCAGCCGGTCTCATAGGAAAGCATTTACAATTTTCCTATGGACGCTTGTTCTCACTGATTTTCACAGTGAGAATCACGCAAGCTCCTCTAGCGGATGTCAGTGAGACAGCCACTAGAGGATTTGAGGGCTGGATTAACCCATTTATAAACTGCTATGTTTATAAAAAAAAAAAATGGGTTAACCCTAGCTGGACCTGGCACCCAGACCACTTCATTAAGCATTAAGCTGAAGTGGTCTGGGTGCCTAGAGTGGTCATTTAAGATGCTGCTTAGACTCTCAACTCTGAGGTGGAAATTTTCATTTAACATATTTTAAAAACAAACAACGAAATAACAACTTTCTCTTGCATGAAAGGCTGCGTAGGAACTGTCAACATGTAGCTGCTTTTCGAAATACCCGACTGTCAGTAGCTGGCAAATAGTACCTTCCAATAACCATTTCCTTAAAGGGACACTATACTCACCAAAACAACTTTTAGCTGTCTCACTGCTCAATTATCTGCCATTTAAGAGTTAAATCACTTTGTTTATACAGTACTAGTCCCACCTCCCTGCATGTAACTTACACAACCTTCCTAAAGACTTCCTGTAAAGAGAGAGGTGATGTTTAAACTTCCTTTATTGCAAACTCTGTTTAATTTAGAATGTCTTATCTCTTGCTCTGTTAATAGCTTACTAGACCCAGCAGGAGCCTACTGTATGTTGTTAAAGTTCAATTTACAGAGCAGGAGATAAAAACTTTTTACAGTAAGTTAACATCTGATTGAAAATGAAGCAATTTTGTCCTTATGCAGGCTGTGTCAGTCACAGCCAGGAGAGGTGTATCGAGGGCTGCATGGGCAAAAACAAAAGTGGTGTAACTCCTAAATGGGCAAATAATTGAGCAGTGAAACTTCAGAGGCATGATCTATACACGATAACTGCTTCATTAAGCTAACGTTGTTTTGGTGACTATAGTGTCCCTTTAAAAAGAGACTTAAAAAAAAAAAAAAAGAAACTAGCAAAGGTCCAGGAGTTGAGTCATTTACTTACAGGTGATACTTATAATAATACGGTCATCTTTTTACTTACTTGAGTCCTGCACTGGCTATAGCACCTTTTTAGAAAAATTATACATAATGAATAACCAATCAGGAAATATTGCAAAGCACCACTTTAACAACATGGAAAGTGACTTTATGCCACTATTCTAATAGGATCTGACAATGCTCCAACCTAAACCGTTGGAAGGTCCCCCTGAATATGTAATAAAGGAGTCACTCTAATTTACTGAAGTAGTGCTGTGAAGTCTTATTCTGACTAGGAGAGGAGGTTTATAATTGGAATAAGGAGTCACTAAGTACCTTGTTTTTATTTAAAATATAACAAGAAAGAGGCTGGCATGCCGAAAGAGTTCTGATTGACAGCCACTAGAGGCAGTGTTAACCCTGCAAGGTAATTATTGCAGGTTCTCAGAAATTGCCATTGCGGGGTGAAGGGGACAGGGACACTGAGCCCAGGCCACTTCAATGAGCTGAAGCGGTCTACATGCCTATAGTCTCCCTTTAAATCTGAATAGCAAAAGTGAGGCAGAAATAGCGGCGTGGTTATTATAGCCTCAATTTTACAATTCATATATAAAGAAACACTATACTTAAAAAAAAACATTTAATATACATTTACCCCGCAGCCCCACAAAAAACCCTACATTTAATATTACTGAAGGTTATGTAAATGCTAGTTTACATTAGCTGTAATATTAGTTCCTCCGGTTACAGCTAACCATCCCCCTTGTCATGGCAGTCGTGTGCTGGACCTTGCCCAGGCAGAGGCTTCAAATTAAAAACCTTGCGTACAAGTAATGCATGCCCATGACTGGCCATTCACGAATACAGCTATAAACACTTATTAAGTAGTGCTGAGATTTATACAGTCCCCTCACTTTACATTTTGAGTTATAGTTTAAAGAGACAACTGGGAAGGTGTGAAAAAACAGTTTAAAATTTAATTTCAGTTTATAAAATAATTTACTCGCAATCCATCAGTCAATAGGATCCCACAGAAGGCGCTCTGCAGACATCATGGACAGAGGAGGACAAAATGGGGGCGCGTTGGACTGAGACCCAGCACAGGAAGAAATTATAAAAATAAGGGGGGAGGTGTGATCATTAAGATACAAAGGGCATTAGGAAAGGGAAACAATAAACAAAGCACGACAGAGACCCTTTAATAATAGAAAAACTATTTTTTTTTATAGCTATATTGATGTACAATGATTAAGAACAAACTTGAATCCACATTATCTCATGTTCTATTTGGTACTTAAAGAGACATATATTATTACAGAATGATGACATCTCCCAGAACCCTCCTTGCTGCATGGCTTCAGTGTGTACCTATTGTTACTGTGTCACTGTGTAATTGTCTCATTTATTATAAATATACTCCTTTCATAATATTGTAAAGCGCTGCGGAATTAGCGCTATATAAATACTACTACTAATAATAATGTGTAGCAATAAGCATGGACGTTCCATTGATTTCCATGGTGATTGCGTAACATTCTTTTTCGAACTTTGCCCCAGAATCTTGTTCAAACTGTGTAATACCTTTCAATACAATGAATGGGGATTAGTTTGAGGATATTGGTTAATTATTATGCTGCAAGATGATTTTATATCCGGAAATATCAGACCTGCCATGAGAATTATCTATGTAATACTTTTATCTGTAATAAAAACGGTTTATTAAATGTATCTTCCTTATATAGAGGTAGCTAAACAAACAATAGCACGTGGTGTGTGCTCTCAGCTGCTGAACGTGCAAACTGCACACCATTCACTTAGTGGAAGATTAACCCCTTCCTAGCCTGAATGTAATCCCAGCCCCTCCCCCACACTGTCAGTATGTTTGGGTCCGGAAACGTAATCTGATCTTAAACCGTGTGATGTGAGTGAGCTCTCCTCCGAGCTGGAGCACACACTCACCGTGGGAATCCCAGCCGAACAGATCTCCTGTAAGTCAATCTCAGATCCAGTCTGCAGCCCCCTATCCCTCCCTGGGGTCCTACTACACTGCACTATCTAACCTGATCCTCAATCTGATTAACTAATCATTGGCTGGACCCCACTATGTTTCCCTACCCCCCGCCCAGTGTCTCTGACCCCAGTGTCTGTCTGACCTGGTATAGTGTCTCTGATTTGGAGTAGTTCCTCTGACCCCCTCCCCCTGTCTCTGTTACCTGGTATAGTGTCTCTGACCCCCCAGTGTCTGTCTCTGACTTGGTATAGTTCCTATGACCCCCCCAGTGTCTGTCTCTGACTTGGTATAGTTCCTATGACCCCCCCAGTGTCTGTCTCTGACTTGGTATAGTTCCTATGACCCCCCCAGTGTCTGTCTCTGACTTGGTATAGTTCCTATGACCCCCAGTGTCTGTCTCTGACTTGGTATAGTTCCTAAGTGACCCCCAGTGTCTGTCTCTGACTTGGTATAGTTCCTATGACCCCCCCAGTGTTCGTCTTCTGACTTGCAGTTCCTAAGGACCCCCAAAGTGTCTGTTCCTGACTTGGTATAGTTCCTATGACCCCCAGTGTCTGTCTCCTGACTTGGTATAGTTCCTATGACCCCCCAGTAGTTCCGCTGGTTCTGACTTGGTATAGTTCCTATGACCCCCAGTGTTCGTCTCTGACTTGTATATAGTTCCTATGACCCCCAGTGTCTGCTCCCCACTTTGGTATAGTTCCTAGCATTTCCCAGTGTCTGTCTCTTGACTTGGTATAGTTCCCTATGTGACCCCCAGTGTCTGTCTCTGACTTGGTATAGTTCCTATGACCCCCAGTGTCTGTCTCTGACTTGGTATGTTCCTATGACCCCCAGTGTCTGTCTCTGACTTGGTGGCAGCCCTAAGTGACCCCCAGTGCTCCTGTCTCTGACTTGGTATAGTTCCTATGACCCCCAGTGTCTGTCTCTGACTTGGTATAGTTCCCTATGACCCCCCAGTGTCTGTCTCTGGACTTGGTATAGCCCTGACCCCCAGTGTCTGTCTCTGACTTGGTATAGTTCCTATGACCCCCAGTGTTCGTCTCTGACTTGGTATAGTTCCTATGACCCCCAGTGTCTGGCAGTTCCCCTGACTTGGTATAGTTCCTACACCCCCAGTGTTCAGTTCTTGACTTGGTATAGTTCCTAAGACCCCCCCAGTGTCTGTCTCTGTTACCTGGTATAGTGTCTCTGACCCCCCAGTGTCTGTCTCTGACTTGGTATAGTTCCTATGACCCCCCCAGTGTCTGTCTCTGACTTGGTATAGTTCCTATGACCCCCCCAGTGTCTGTCTCTGACTTGGTATAGTTCCTATGACCCCCCCAGTGTCTGTCTCTGACTTGGTATAGTTCCTATGACCCCCCCAGTGTCTGTCTCTGACTTGGTATAGTTCCTATGACCCCCCCAGTGTCTGTCTCTGACTTGGTATAGTTCCTATGACCCCTTCCCCCCCCCCCATCCCATGTCTGTCTGTGACCTGGTATGGTGATCCTGTTATAGTATATTGAGTGCTCTCCCTTTAATCTTTCTCTTTGTTTACTTACAGCTCCTGGTTACAAGTATCCGTTGCAGCCATGGGTGGAGGAATGAGCCAGGTGCATGAACCAGCAGCAGCCAGTCTGTGATAGTGTCCAGTGAGGGATCACACACAGGGTTTATCGTGTCAGCTGGAGCGATCTGCATTTGGATCAGTAAAGATCTAATTGCTTCATAGTGTGTTTTGATTTGTCATTCCCATCAGTAGCTCCCAGTGTGTGATATCGGCTCCCAGTGTGTCTCTGGGGATCTTATTTACTGGAAATAGTGTCTGGCTTACAAAACATTCAAATAGTTCGAAAGTGTCCCCCAGCTCTAAAACAGCCAAGAAATGGTTCTTTATAACATCCACACCTAGCACTTTATATTCGTGTGTTTGTTGAGGCTTCCTTGCAGGCAGTGATGTGCTCCATGAAATCACTATAGTATAGCAGTCTGTGGCAGGATTTGGTGTCAGTTTTCTATGTTAATAGTGGTATTATTATGAAAACCATTTAGAAACCACAATACAGAAACAACTCCACTCTATAGAAATATATTTCTGAGAGAGAGAATGGTCATAATTGCAGAAGCAGTTTAATTGTGTTTAAATTGATAATTTAACTGTTCAATACCTGCACCATTGAATAGTTACAATCAAATCTTCTATGGTGCTTTCACTGTTCTGGGTGTATCTGTTGGAGATCAGATGAGGTTCTCTGGAAATATCGCTAGTTATGGTATTTATTCATTAAACTGGGAATCAGACAATTTACAAGGGAATTGCAAATGTATGTTAAAATCCCCGATGTTGAAAAACTCTGCAACGCAGCCATTTTCCCAACTTTAATTTCTTCCCTTTAAAACGAGGAATTCCTAACTGAGCGATTAAATCTCTTTGAGGTTTATTCTCTAAACGCAATGCTGCAGTGAGTTGAGATCTGGACGCACAATGTTGGATAACATGGTGATCTGGAGAGATTCTCCAATTCCCTATAGTAATCGTGCTATTCTGCTACTCGCAAAGTTATTTACTAAAACCTGAATTGCAGCAAATCACAATCTGACAAAACAGGCGAAGAAGAGATGGGTTTTGGAAATAAGAGCGGATCAGGCAGTAACAGGTACTCGCTATATGATAAAGGGAGCAGAGCCTTGGGAAATCCTCTGGTATAGAAACGGGACAAGGGACCAGTAGAACAACTATATAGTGCAAAAATTGAATATTAGTTGGAACTCAATAAAGAGATGCAATTGGTGTATAGAGCTATCAGTAAGCTCTACTATGTGGGTCTGGGTGGTACAATCCCTGTCTGAGGATGTGAGCTGTATCCCTTGATCCAATGAGGGGTGGTCTGGAGGTTACGCAATATAAGCAGAATTGATACCAATATAGTGTAGTCTACACTGTGTCACGGATGGGATATAGTAATAGGCACTGCTTAGAAATGTGTCTGATTGGTTGTTTTAGAATCTAACACACAGAGAGAGAGGGGGGTAAATTATTCAATATAAGGCTTACAAACCATGAATGATTGTTTATTTTCTGATTAATCGAGCTTGCTAAACCTGATTTTGTGTATTTGGGATTTAATTTTAAGTCGGTTTGTAGATAGTGCCTGAGATCTGTCACTGATAGACTTAGTTAAATGCCAGGATGAAAGAAGATCAGTTAAAATTAGACTTTGGCCAGCTGCCGTCTCTGGGGATTCAGGTGTAAATACAACTCTGTAGAGCAGTGCATGAAGGGATATTGTATTAACCTTTTAACAAGGAGCCCAGGCTTCTCTTTTAACCATTAAAGCACACATTTAGTACAACTATCTAAGGTCCATGTGCCAGCACAGCCCATCCTGTGTATGTAGAATTGGCAGTTCTATACATCCCTGCATTTACTCAATCAGTAAAAAGCATGGGTAGCTGTACGCAGCCCTGCTGTCACTCAGTAAGGAAATGGCATTGGTAGCTGTACGCAGCCCTGCCGTCACTCAATAAGGAAACGGCATTGGTAGCTGTATGCAGCCCCGCCGTCACTCAATAAGGAAACGGCATTGGTAGCTGTATGCAGCCCTGCCGTCACTCAATAAGGAAACCCTGTATGCAGCCCCGCCGTCACTCAATAAGGAAATGGCATTGGTAGCTGTACGCAGCCCTGCCGTCACTCAATAAGGAAACGGCATTGGTAGCTGTATGCAGCCCTGCCGTCACTCAATAAGGAAACGGCATTGGTAGCTGTATGCAGCCCTGCCGTCACTCAATAAGGAAACTGCATTGATAGCTGTATGCAGCCCCGCTGTCACTCAGTAAGGAAATGGCATTGGTAGCTGTACGCAGCCCTGCCGTCACTCAATAAGGAAACTGCATTGGTAGCTGTATGCAACCCTGCCGTTACTCAATAAGGAAACGGCATTGGTAGCTGTATGCAGCCCTGCCGTCACTCAATAAGGAAATGGCATTGGTAGCTGTACGCAGCCCTGCCGTCACTCAATAAGGAAACGGCATTGGTAGCTGTACGCAGCCCTGCTGTCACTCAGTAAGGAAATGGCATTGGTAGCTGTACGCAGCCTTGCCGTCACTCAATAAATGGCATTGGTTGATGTATACAGCCCTGCCGTCACTCAAATGGCGTTGGTAGCTGTATACAGCTGTGCCGTCACTCAATAAATGAATTGTATTGGTTGATGTTTGCAGCCTTGCCGTCACTCAATAAGTAAATAGTTTTGTTGGGCTACATTAAACAATACCGAATATAACCTCTAAATATTTTTCAGAAGAGTAAAACAATATTTTACAATTCTACAAACTCTGCAATCATGCCATAGTGTATCTACTGAATGTTTGGGTAATCAGGAAACGTCTATAGAGGCTGGAGGTGATTTTGTTAGAACCCAGTGAGCCCTGTATCTCTATTCTTATTAAAGTAAAAGTGAAAAAATGTAATATAAAAGTGATTATATAAAAAGTGTTGTTAAATACTGTAATTTTTCTAGCATTTCACAATACATGTAGTTTTTAATTATCATTTACATTAGTTTTTCTGATCACATGGAGCTCTCTGGTTGAATGAGAATCAGAGGGAACTGAAGCTAGCTTCATTCAAAGAGTGTAGGGACATAGTATTCACCTTCTGTGTTTTATTTATTCTTCTTTTCTCCACGATACCAAAGCTATCCTTTGTTTGTGGCTAATACTTAGTTTAACTTTTATCATCTCAGTTATTTATTTTTCTTGCTAACTTTTTTTTTTTTTTTTTTATTGCTAACTGTTTTTTCCCCCCCCATCACAGGTACTACCTGGTTTACACCTTGGAAATATTAGGGGTACGTAGAAAGATGTGCATTATTTCATTATCTTTTTATTTCATGTATTTGTTTCAAAGAAACTGCTATATTTCACTGAGGGTTAATCCAGCCTCTAGTAGCTGTCTCACTGACAGCCGCTAGAGGCGCTTCTGCTGGACGTCCATAGGAAAGCATTGAGTAATGCTTTCCTATGGGCGGTTTGAATGCATGTGCGGCTCTTGCTGCACATGCACATTCGGAGCTGAGAGGCGGATCGGGGCGGAGAGATCCCCAGCGCCAAGGGAGCCTGGCGCTGGAGAAAGGTAAGTGCTGAAGGGGTTTTAACTACACACACACACACACTCTCACGAACAGACGCATACACACTAGCTAACAGACACACACTCGGTGACATACACACTCACAAACGGACGCTTACAAAACATACACACTCACAAACGGACACTCACAAATGGACACTCACAGGCACACTCACATTTATTTATTTTTAAATTTAATCCCCCAGCCTCCCTACTTTTTTGGGAGTGCTGTGGGATTCCTGCTTTCCCTGGGGTCCAGTGGGGCTGCTGGGCGGCCGGTCCTGCAAGGCTGCAAGGGAGCATTCTCCCCTGAGCGCTCGCTGCCCAACTCCCTCGCGCACGGCTTACTGATGCCGGAGCTTGAATTACGTCATGTTCCAGCATTAGTGTGGTGCGCCAGAGGAAGCTGGGCAGAGCGCGCTCAGGAGAGAATGCTCCCTCTCGCGCCTGCCCGCCCTCAAAGTGATGCCACTGCCAGCTTTGGGGGTGCCCTGAGGCTGGCAAAATAGGGCCAATCTAGCGTACATAACGGGTCACAAGGCGGCCGGGCAACCTGGAGGCCCGGGCCCGGTCGCAGCCGCGACCCCTGTGACCGCGGTATGTACGCCAGTGGAGTTTGGTCATTGCAAGGGTCCAAAAACACCTGGTCTTAATGCCCAAGTAGAATGAGGTAGGAGTCTGGTGTTTATAGTGTGTTATTTTGACATGGAGACCAAGTAGAGCGAAATTGAGTCTGGTCTTAATATTATATAAATGTGATTTATATAAAAAGTGTTGTTAAACTGATAAATCTGAAATCTGGTCAAGTAGAGTAAAATTGTGAATCTGGTGTGGTATGTTGCGGTGGAGTTTGGCATTACTGGAGTAGTGGGGTAAGATGGGCCAAGATTGGGTGACGGGCTAGTGGAGGTAAGTGTTGCGTAATTTGCGTAGTATGCTAAAGATGCAGGAATAGACCACATGGCTGTTATACAAGGATTTGTGTTTCTCTAATCTGTATTTTCTATTCACTTCCTGTAGATTCAGAGGATAAGCTTTCCTTGTGTACAAATGGGGTCACGCACATTCTGTCTGTCCATAACAATGCCAAACCTCTTCTCCAGGTAAGACAGAATGTTATATCTCTAACAAACAAATGTTTAACTTCTACCTTTTGAAAGACTCGTCAAATAATGTTTTTCCCTTCAGAGACAAGTGGAGAAAACCACACATGATTCACATTTTTTGCAGATAGCACTGAAAAGACAGGACATACATGTATTGGGCTTTATGATTGGTCCCTTCTTGACTCTTATACTAAAACAGGGATTTCCAAATTCAGCACTGATTTCCCCTAGCTGTGGCTTTGCAAATTTTACATATATATTGGAACGTGAGCACAACTGGATTTTACTGCTTAGTATGTTGCTGGTAAAAGCCTTTTCTATGAAGGGATAGACCAGAGGATGACTAGTTCTAGAGCTTATTAACGATATGATAACCTTTTGTTACTGATTATGTAATGTTTTTGAAAATACAAGATTTTTGGGTTCATGTGGGATGAAAAATAAGTGTTAATGAGGCTTACAGGCTTGCGTTGGGTGTTTATGAGACGCATTTAATGAAATGCATAGGTCTCTTTTTGTGCGCTGAGGACCTGACCGATTTCTGGATCTGTAATACGTTACCTAGAGGAGTGCATGGAATCTCACAATGATTTTGTAAATTGTAAAACCTCTACTCTCTTTATTACATTTTTTTCCAAAATGTTGTAATGAATCCCAAGCTGCTTTAGATGCAGTTAAACTCCTTTGAGAAATAAATTTGCACAGATGTGTAGGTGTGATATCTCAAAGCCCCATAATGTTGCAGGAACAAGTGTTTGACTAGAAAAAGACCTGCGGACATTCCTGATGGCATTCATTTGCCAACTAAAACAAGCACTCTAATCTGTGATGGCTACTGATAAGCGCCAAGTGAGCCTTGCATTAAACGGAAAAATTAAATCTTCTAACTGTAATCAGTTGGGAATTGGCCTGTCCGTTTGGAGCCCCGGCTATTTGAATACGGGTAGTATGAGAAATTTTCAAGAGGTTTCAAGAAACAAGCACATTACTCAGCCTGTCACATTTTGTTAGATTAGAATTTTCCCTTTTTTGTGAGTCCTACAGAGAGGTGTGTGAATGTGTAATTTCAATAAGTGGTCAAGAAAGCTTTCTATTCTATATGAGGTCAATGATATTAACATGGTTATTGTAATATTAAGCTTGCAAAAGTTACCCTATAATGTAATTAAAATATGACACATGGTCAAGCTAGAGAGCAAAACATTTAAACATATATATTTTTTTTTCTTTGGGGGATATATATTGCTATTGAAATCTACACTTTATATTATTATTATTATTTTTATTATTTATATAGCGCCATCAGATTCCGTAGCGCTGTACAATGAAAAATAGGAGATACTTCACACACAACGCTTTTCAGCAAGCTGAAGTGCTTAAGGGGTCCCTTTAAAGCAGCATGACTGCTTATAAATCTCACTATATTGATAACCTGTCTAATAAAGCAGATTAAGGGATGGAATTAAAAAGTGAAGAAAATAATTATACACTATTACACTATATTATACATTATATAAACACATGGACACAAAACATTGCAAATAAACTGTTAAATTATTTATTTTAAAATTAGATCCGTAGTTTCCTCCTATGTCTACTTTGACTGAAGTAGGAGGCCTTGCGACACATTTTGTTCTAAGTTCCAGAATAACTTGACTCATGTGGCAGGTGCATTGCAATATATCACAGCAGCTGTCAGTCTTGCTGCATGCTATATTTTGCACACTAGATGGCAGTACAACTCTGTAAAATACTGACCACATTCTTTCAATGTGCAACGTCATAATTTGAACACTAGATGTCTCTATTTGAAAGCTATTAAATAAAAATAGCTATCCCAATTCCAGATATTTTATTTATTTTCTCCCTTATCATGCAAGCCACTTTATACTTGTAATAAGATAATGGAAAAACTCCAGACAGAGAGCCTAACAGAAGTAATCAAAAGGTAGATCTAGAACATCCATGATGCTTTGACAAACTTACGGAGGGTTAGTCCAAATTTTAAATTATACAAACATTATAAATCTCGTATAATCCTCTGATATCCAAATGCATGTTGCACCCATCGCCTGCTCCAGTATTCTAAATTAATTCTTCATTTGGGTGTTACAGTATGTATTTTTCGTCTTTTTATTTCGCCCTAGCGTTTGTCATTTTTTGCGTTTGATTGTTCGTGAAAAGCAACTCGCAGTGCTGGTGCATGGCCCACCACACACCGTGTCTTACATCATGTCCTCTGAGTGTGACAGAGAAAAAGGAGAACTTGGAAAGAAGTGGTTGATTGAGCAATAAGTCGAGCACAGATTGAAAGCAGTAACCGCAATACCGTGGCTTGGGGGTGACTCTGGGTATCCTCTGCAGATGTCTCTGGCTTTCTGTGCTTCTTAAAGGCATGCAGGAAGGATGCAGCTGCTGTGACCCTGAAATGGAGCACTTGCTGTCAGGAAGACCACACGGCACTGCTGGTGAAGCTGCAGTTCATAAATTAGATCTTTTAACCCCTCTTTAGCTTATTAACCATTTACTTGCAAGACTTGTGAGCAGTGCCGTCCTACAGCCTTAGTATTTAAAAGGTTAAATTAGTAAGAGTAAAACAGCATTAGAAGTGGAAGCATGCTCTGCTCGTTCATAATTATCTGTTTATAAATGGATATTCTGGCAAGCCTCTGCTCTCTCAAAGATGTCTGCTGCCAACAGTGTCTCACTTATTGAAGAATAATAAATGGAAGGGTAATGCCATATCTTGGCAAGTGATTGGAAGATACCTGCAGAAAGTGCGGGCAGAACATATCCAGTGTGTTTTGTTTAAACTTGGCAAATCACGCATGGCCTCTAAAAATGGTTTGTACATGCTTTGTTAATTTTTTATTTTATATTATTTATTATATTTTTGTTTGGTAAAAATGTTAGGATTTTTATTTATTATTTTTATTTTTTTTCCTAGGATTTTTCATCCATCCAATATGAACATGCATTATAAAGGTTGATACCAAATTAGGATGACCACATTTTATTTTGAATCTGCCCCTGCGAATATGGCATTCTCAAAGGTTGGGGTCAGAAATCTCCTGACGCCAGGTCTGTGCATCTTGCTGTGATAGTAATAATGTAACTGAAAGATCAGAACAGAAGAGTTTGACCTCTCATCACGTAATTGGCTCACCATCTACTGGAAATGTAATGATTTCTGGGCTGATTTTTCCGCACGCAGTGTGTTCCTCCATGAACATAATAATGCTGAATGCAAATTATCTGCAATTTTCATTTCTGAATGATGGAGGAAATTGAAGAAAGCAGCGGCCAAATTTATGTTTTGGCCTTTAATTCTTTATTGCAGTTCCTCCCGCAGTCTGTCCTTTATGACTTTTAAGAGATCTTGCAGAGAGTGTAGTAACTGACAGATGAAGGATGTGTTTTGAGGGACTGACAGGAAGGGGGACAGGCTAAGCTTTGTCAAACAGTGCGTGGGTAACACTGAACAGCTGTGGCCAACATAAATAATGGCCGTTGGGATGCTCTTGGAAGGGGCTGCAACACCTGTGTGTACTCAGAGTGCTGTCCTAAATTTCAAAATGGACGATTTTTCTGCTGTATAGACAGGAGCTCACCTGTCTGCTTGGAATGCCCAGATAATATGCAGACATATAAATATTATGATGACTATATGCAGATGTTCTAATCACACCTGAGAAATACCTATTCATTGGGACAAGTGGACAGCATTTGTGGCCAGCCTAGCCTTGTCACTTTAATGGAACAATTTGGTCAAGTCTACCTGTACCGCTTACTTAACAGATCCTTGTCACTTTAGCTTTTGATGACTACACATCTCATAAGGCTCAGCAAGTCAACAGAATCAGAAAGCACTCCGCTATTGTGCTAATACCTGTAGTATTACAATTTGCACTAGTTTGCAGTGTTGGATCGTTTTTATGTTTTTTTTTTTTTGTTTTTTTTTTTGTGCTTTTTTTTGGGGGGAGGGGGTTTTGCAATTTTCAGAAATGTAAACATAACTACCATGGAAAATAGATTGCAGGTAAATATTCCTGGAGAGTTTGATGTCTATTTTGTTAAAGATTCCGGGGTTGACAACAACTGCTTTTCTAAATGTTCACAGTATTACATATGTGACAAATTAACTGCTGAGTGATTTAGAATGTGTTGTAGTACTTTGGCAGTGGAGGGGTTAAGCCACTAGTCCCCGCTGAGACGTGGACTGAATGCTGACAGCAGTGGTTGCTCCAGATCTACAGGCTACACATATGGTCCGATCCAGTTTACCCTGTGAGAGTAAAAAATGGCCATCTAACTCCCTAATTTATAGAAAAGGTTCATTTTCTATATTAGAGGCTTGTCGCTGGTTTAGAAACTGTAGCGGTCACCCTGAGAGAAGAGGGGTATCCTCTGCCAGAGATGTCATTTTCCCCTAGTGTGGGTAGCGCTGCAGTGTTCCCAAGTTGATCTCCAAGCAGTAAGAAAAGTGGCATAGCTCTTATAAGAGTTAGTGGTTATAACAAGTATAGCTGTTCCCTACAATCACGAGACGAGGCTGCGTGTTGAGGGTAAAGTGAACAGATTTTAATGGAGCCACACTTGGCCTTTTATGACAATCCCCATGCAAGGGGTACTCCCAACTGGACCTGATGGAAGACTGAATTACAAAATATAATATATGTGAACGCATAAACACATGTACATATACATACACATACATGAACTCATATACACAAATATAAATGCACAGTAATATAAATAAGCATTCATGTATGGGAAAGCATAGGTCTACACATAGTACTTTGTATATAGATAGAATAAACATATAGGAATGCATTTTAAAGTGTTGGTACATATGACAGAATAGTGAGATTATGCTGGGAGAGTGTTCATGTAAAGTGTTGGTAGTGGGACAGGAATCCCAAATCAATATTTAGTCCTCTCTTCTTGCTGTTAAACCATTTAATCATTCTGGCTTCAAAGGCTTTTCTTTCCTGGGTATTTTTAAAACCCCCTTGTCAGTACTTTGATTTTTAGGTCCTTCAGTGAGTGGCCAGGCTGGGTAAAGTGGTGTCCCACAGGAGTGCAGTAGGATTCTTCTTTGTGGCGTTTAAAAGAATGTCTGTGCATATTCATTCTGCCATTTAATGGCTGCGTGGTTTCCCCAATGTAGCATCCTAGGTGGCAGGCCCGGACTGGCCATCGGGCACACCGGGCAAATGCCCGGTGGGCCGCGGTGTCCGTGGGGCCGAGGCCGGCAGGGGAGGTCCCAGGATCTCCCCTGCCGGTCTATGCAGGGCCGGCACTCTCCTAGCGCCGGCCCCGCTTTGTGCCACGACGGGCCGGTTGGGGATCAAGGATCTCCCTGACCGGCCCACATGCGGCCGCCGGCGGGGAGGGAGGGAGCCCGCCAGCCAGGCTGGAGAGAGGACTCGGCGGAGCTCTAACTTGCAGCTCCGCCGGGTTCCTCTCGCGAGATCCGGCACGTTGCCATGGCAACGACCGGATCTCGCGAGAGTGAACTCTAGCCTCACTGGCTAGAGTTCACTCACCCACGAGGACCACCAGGGAACACCGCCACCCTGCCTGCCAGCATGCCGGACCCCCCCTCCCAGGCTAAAGGTAAGAAGGGAGGGGGGACATAATGCCTGTTTTTTTTATTTTTTTTTTTTTATTTACCCCCCCCTACACACACACACAATAACATTTATACAGCACTCTCACACCCATCACACTCACAGCACTTTCACACACAGAACTCTCTCACAGAGCACTCTCTCACACACACAGCACTCTCTCACACAGCACTTTCACACACACACAGCACTCTCTCACAGAGCACTCTCACACACACACAGCACTCTCTCACACAGCACTCTCACACCCATCACACACAGCACTCTCACAGAGCACTCTCACACACTCACAGCACTCTCTCACACAGCACTTTCACACACAGCACTCTCTCACAGAGCACTCACACACACACAGCACTCTCTCACACAGCACTCTCACACCCATCACACACAGCACTCTCACAGAGCACTCTCACACACTCACAGCACTCTCAAACCCATCACACTCACACCCATCACACACACAGCACTCTCTCACAGAGCACTCTCTCACACACACAGCACTCTCTCACACAGCACTCTCACACCCATCACACACAGTACTCTCACAGAGCACTCTCACACACTCACAGCACTCTCTCACACAGCACTTTCACACACAGCACTCTCTCACAGAGCACTCTCACACACACACAGCACTCTCTCACACAGCACTCTCACACCCATCACACACAGCACTCTCACAGAGCACTCTCACACCCATCACACTCACAGCACTTTCACACACACAGCACTCTCTCACAGAGCACTCTCACACACACACAGCACTCTCTCACACAACACTCTCACACCCATCACACACAGCACTCTCACAGAGCACTCTCACACACACACAGCATTCTCTCACACAGCACTCTCACACCCATCACACTCACAGCACTCTCACAGAGCACTCTCACACACACACAGCACTCTCTCACACATCACTCTCACACCCATCTCACACAGGGCACTCTCACACGGCACTCTCACACCCATCACTCACACTGCACCCTCACACACACACATACTGCACCCCTCACATACACACAGAACCCCCCAACACACTGCACCACACACATACACAATACTTCCAAATATATATATGTGTGTGTGTGTGTGTATATATATATATATATACACACACACACACACACACAACACTCTTAAAGGACCACTCTAGCCACCCAGAACACTTCAGCTTAATGAAGTGGTCTTGGTGCCAGGTCCTTCTAGGGTTAACCCATTGTTTTATAAACATAGCAGTTTCAGAAAAACTGCTATGTTTATCAATGGGTTAAGCCTTCCCCCAAAACCTCTAGCAGCTGTCTCATTGACAGCCGCTAGAGGCGCTTGCGTGCTTGTGCACGCAAGCGTCCATAGGAAAGCATTATAAATGCTTTCCTATGCGACCGGCTGAATGCGTGCGCAGCTCTTGCCGCGCGTGCGCATTCAGCCGACGGGGCGGATCAGAGGAGGAGAGCTCCCCGCCCGGCGCTGGAAAAAGGTAAGTTTTAACCCCTTTCCAGAGCCGGGCGGGAGGGGGTCCCTGAGCCACATATGCATCACATTACACCACAAACACAACACGACTAAAACCGACCTTATTACGCAATACCACACCACGACCAGCTCACTCTACACACACGCAATACCACAAGCAGGCTCCAAACACATGCACAATACTCTTTCCTGGCCCTTTTGTCTCCTGGTATCCATTTATAGAGACACCAGAGACAAGTTGCAAGGAAACACAGTGCAAGCATGTTATTAAATTTGCTTGCACTGTGCAGAACAAATACAGGACTTTTTTCTCATGCTAGAGCTCTTCAGCAGAGCTCTGCGCATGGTCTGCCCTGGAAGAGCATTGAACCAACATGCTTGCTTTGAGAGGAGGCGTGTTTGTCATTGGTGATGACAAAACACACCTCCTATGCCCCGCCCCCTTTTTAGTGGGCCGCTGTGTTAAAAAAATGCCCGGGCCGAATTTTTCTCCCAGTCCGGCCCTGCTAGGTGGCATTTTATGCATTGAATCATGTATACCACATTGCTGGATGTGCAGGAGTATGAACCTTTAATGCTGTAGGTTTTATTGTTGTGTGTGTGTGTGGCTGTGTTGTCTGTGCATATGTGCTGACACAGTTTGCAGTGAGGTTTTTTGCATTGACTGGTCCCATTTTCTTCGTTCTTACCATCAGTGGGCAGCCTCCTGTTGATTGATTTTTGTTGGAGGTTTGGTGGTTGTCTGAAGGCCAAAATGGGTGTTTCAGGGAAAATGTTTTTCAGAGTCTCATCTTCTGTTAATATTGGTTGTAGGTCTTTGATGATTTTCCGTATTTCCTCAAGAGCTGGGTTATAGGTGACCACAAGTGGCACTCTCCCAGCATTATCTCACTATTCTGTCATATGTACCAACGCTTTAAAATGCATTCCTATATGTTTATTCTATCTATATACAAAGTACTATGTGTAGACCTATGCTTTCCCATACTCTTATGCATGAATGCTTATATATATTACTGTGCATTTATATTTGTGTATATGAGTTCATGTGCATGTATGTATGTGTATATGTACATGTGTTTATGCGTTCACATATACATATTTATGTGTGTGCGCATGTATAAAGTGTACCATCCTGTGCACTGTCTGCTTGTTTGTTTTTCTTTTCCCTCTCTCCCCCCTCACTCTGCTCTTCAACAAGATATTTATGACCCTCTGCTAAGATGGTGTCTATTTTCTAACAAACCTGTGTCTTATCTACACTCATGTCGCTTTAACCCCTGTATCACAACTCAACTTTGAATTCTATGTGTCGTTTTGCTCAGAAATGCTTCAGACTTGAGAAAGGGAGGTTCTCCCGAAAGCTTGTCATTAAAAAATTCTGTTAGTCCAATAAAAAAGGTATTACAAGATATGAATTTTATCTGTTTTTTACATATATATTTATCAATAATGCTTATTTATTTTACTTTTTATTTCGGAGATCTTCATAGCACTCCAACAGATAAAACAATGCTTTGTAACATTATAAGATGACCGTATAAAACTAATCACAGTAAATTCCCCCTTTTTGATCTATTTTTTTTTTTTTAAATTCTAAAATGCATGATGTTGGCAGCCACAAGTAATTTGTAAGGATTACCGCCGGGGAAGGTAATAACAGGCAGAACAAACAGGCGGATCATTAATAGACTTTAAAGGAAAGGCATAGACCGCCTATAATGAATGTTCACTGGTCGGGGAACATATAATGTGAGGGTGGGGGGCAGCTTTGATACACAATGGGTCAGTCTAGAGGAGTAAAGGCGACACTTGCATTCAAGATGTTTTCGAACTACATTTCCCATGATGCACAGCTAACTTAGTGAGCATATACTTTACAAATATCTGGGGTTGCCAAAGTTGGCGGTCTCTATCTCTAGTCCCTGCCATATTACATAGACATACGAATTATGTAAGAAATCCCTTTTACAAGCTTCTAATACTCCAGGAATAGAGAGAGAAGGAACTGATAAACAATGGTGGTCTTGTATTGCGTGTATTAATGCTTGTCTGTGTGTGGCAAGAAGTGTGAGTCTTTCTGAATAATGTCTTCCTGATGTTTTGGCTATTTATAAACTCCAGATGTTCCCGCGGAATCCATTTCCTGCTCTCTCTCCTCTCAGACAGCTGCAAACCAAGGCAGGAAAAAAAGGCTTCTTTTTATGACGAATTCCCATACATTCCTTTTGTACAGGCCAGTACGGCGGTCGTTACGGCGTGATTATTAATCTTTATAGGATGAGGGGGCACTATAAACATGTAATCATAATGATATTTGTGTCGGAAGGGTTCCGTGATGACAGAGTATATTTTAAGGAGAGAACCATGTGACGTTTTCAGGATCGAATATAGACAGAATATCTTCCAAGCTGTTTACAAGAAAGGGTTAAACTGTCTGGGAGCACAGTATTGAGAATGTTCATGTCTGGCTGCTGCCAACGTGAACACCAATGGCAAATAACCTCCATTTGATTAAATATGCATAGGGCTTTGGGAAGAACGCAGGTAAAAAAAATTTTCCTTTGGTTATTATTACTGCTATTTACAAAGTTTCAATAAATTCAGCAGCGATGTAGAAATGGTGGACTAACAACAAGACGAAGGTGCTGAGGGCCTGGCTCTAATGAGTGTACATTCTAAGGGGTGGGAGGGACGATGTATGGTCTTCAGTCCATTATGTAGGGGCTTCATCTAGAGCGAAATCTAACTCTACAGTAGATGTTATTCTTATTCTTTGTTTTAAAAAAAATAATTTTTAATGGTTTTCTAGAATGCTTTGGGTAGATGCCATAAATACATGTATGAATACAATATTAACCTATAAAACATGAATACAATGAAACAAAATTAATCTATCTATGCAACCGGAGGCTGAGTCTTATTTCCACCACAGAAGGTCATCTTTGTTTTCAAGACACATATTAAAGGAACACTTTAATAATAATAAAAAAAACAAAAAAACCCTATATTTTTGGGTTTAACGTTTGGAGTGCTCATTTATCCATTAACATGCTCGGCACCTTCCACCAACCTTTTAAAAATATATTCCCCTTTTTTTTTATTTTTTATTTTTTTATTTTTTCATTATTGGCAAATCCTCTCCAGCTGCTGCAGTAAGGACCGTATCCCTTCCAGTTCAGACAAAACAGGCGCACCTGTCACACCTGTCCATACTGCCCAACAATCAGCAGGACAGTCCCTAATTTGGTATTCTCTACTGCTGTCCTAGCTTTGCTCTCTGGCATCCTGCATTGGCAAACAATAGAGACTAAGTCCTCATAAGGCCCAGCATGGGTGTTTGACTATATATGCTCTCGCACTAAGAGAAGATCACCATAACACTGCTCTCACATGTGAGGCCATCAGTGGGCTTGCCCAATGTTATGGTACCTTCATGTCAGGCTGACATGCCTCTTCTTTGGCAGGCCCATCAGCAGTCATGTAAGCACGCTCCCTGGCACACCTCCAGTTTCCTTCTGTTTTGAGTTTAGTGAATTCTCAAAGTTCTGATCGTTCCTCATACAGGGTTATTCACTAAAAAGAAAATCAAATGTCAAAATTGCTGAACTGGAAAAATTTGAAGTCCGCTATGCTTCCAATTCGGCTACTTTGGCCTTAAATGTGAATTTCACTTTAGTAAATAATCCTGATAGTGGGAGGAAAACGTGTGTTATGTTTTATATTTTTATTCTGTGAGGACATTGAACGTTATCTCCGAATAATCTGTGTGTGTGTGTGTGTATATATTAATCCAGCTGGTGAGATTTATAACCTTTTTATATTGAAATATATTTTGTTTTATTATTTTGTGTTGTATAGATTCACTTTTAAAATTATTTTATGATAACCCGTTATTGTTTAACTGAATTATTTGTGATGGCCTTTTCTTTCTATCTACCTGGGATAGCGATTGGTGGTGATTAGAGTATACTGTGTGTGTGTGTGTGTGTGTGTGTGTGTGTGTATAGAGAATGTAGATATTCCCGATTACATCATACTATGTTCTGTCTGTGTTTTGCAGGAAATGAACTATCTCTGTATAGCAGCCTCTGATTCAGCCAGCCAGAATCTGTAAGTTGACAGATACTTCATATTTTCCGCTCTTGTACGTATCAGAAAGACGCCTTAAATTCACTGATCAGTTTCATTTCTTTCAAATCTTTGTGCCACATTGTGGAAAATACAAGCAGGATGTAGCTGTATCTTTACAAAAATCTATGGATTGATGCATCCTTTCAGCTAAAAAGGCGCACCAGTATGTCGATTCTGTGGTTGTGACTAAGTCCACATTAATACGAACCACAAACTGAGGTAGAGACGGAAAATACAGATCTAGGTGACCGATAATAACTTGACAGAAGGACTAAATATGCTGTTCAATTTCAACAAGCAATGGTTAATCATGAAATCAGTCTTTTTAAAAAAAAAAATTTTCATATGTTAGGCCTGTTAATTCCCCCCTCCCCTCCAAATATAAAAAACAAAAGTGAGATACAATTGAATTGTTAACTTTTCTGGGAAAAGTTGTAAATCCTCTTTCAGTTTTCTGAAGCTGTATTCGGCAAGTATAGTTTTCTAGAATTATTGAAGAAGCTGATATTAACGTGAAATAGTTATACTTGTCCTTGTCCTAAAATTCTGGGTCAACTAAAAGATTGTGTGCAGCAGATTGTAATGATAATAAATGTAAAAGGTACGTCTGCAGGGACTGCTACCTAGCACCTTTTTAACTTCGCAGCAAGTTGTTAGTAGTTATGGTGCCTGGAGTGGTTGAGTCATTCCTGAATTGTGAGTCAGGCCTTAAACTAATTTTCATAACTTACATTCATTACAACATACAGTGCCTTGCAAAAGTATTCACCCCTTCCCCCTTGACTTTTTACTTACTTTTTACATTAGTGTTAAGTTCAATGTTTTATTCATCTGAATTTTATGTGATAGATCAGAACACAATAGTCTAAGTTGGTGAAGTGAAATGAGAAAAATATATACATAAAACAATTTTTTTTTTAGAAATCGAAAACAGAAAATTGGCATGTGCGTATGTATTAACCCCCTTTGTTATGAAGCCCATTAAAAGCTCTGATGCAACCAATTACCTTGAGGTCACATAATTAGTGAAATGATGTCCACCTGTGTGCAATCTAAGTGTCACATGATCTGTCATTACATATACACACCTTTTTTGAAAGGCCCCAGAGGCTGCAACACCTAAGCAAGAGGCACCACTAACCAAACACTGCCATGAAGACCAAGGAACTCTCCAAACAAGTAAGGGAGATGCGGAGTTCCACAGCAGAGACTGGAGTATCTGTACGTAGGACGACAATAAGCCGTACACTCCATAGTGCAAAAAACAAAATGGCACGTTTTGAGTTTGCGAAAAGGCATGTGGGAGACTCCCGTAATGTATGGAGGAAGGTGCTCTGGTCTGATGAGACTAAAATTGAACTTTTCTGCCATCAAAGAAAACGCTATGTCTGGTGCAAACCTCACACATCACATCACCCAAAGAACACCATTTTAGCAGCCGGGACTGGGAAACTGGTCAGAGTTGAGGGAAAGATGGATGGTACTAAATACAGGGATATTCTTGAGCAAAACCTGTACCACTTTGAGCGTGATTTGAGGCTAGGACGGAGGTTCACCTTCCAGCAGGACAATGACCCCAAACACACTGCTAAAGCAACACTTGAGTGGTTTAAGGGGGGACTTGTAAATGTTTTGGAATGGCCTAGTCAAAGCCCAGACCTCAATCCAATAGAAAATCTGTGGTCAGACTTAAAGATTGCCGTTCTCAAGCGCAAACCATCCAACTTGAAGGAGCTGGAGCAGTTTTGCAAGGAGGAATGGGTAAAAATCTGTGGTAAGATGTGGCAAGCTCATAGAGACTTATCCAAAGCGAATTGGAGCTGTGATTGCTGCAAAAGGTGGCTCTACAAAGTATTGACTTTAGGGGGGTGAATAGTTATGCACATTGAGTTTTTCTGTTATTTTGTCCTATTTGTTTTCTTCACAATAAAAAACCAAAAACACCTACAAAGTTGTGGGCATGTTCTGTAAATTAAATGATGCAAATCCTCAAACAATCCATGTTAATTCCAGGTTGTGAGTGTCACGTATTCATCCGCTTATAGAAATGTGGTTAATGACATTTACTGTCCACACAGGAAAAGTTGTGCCGAGCAGCAACCTAATCCACAGAAAGGTTAATGCTGAGCAGTAATTGTGCATATGAAACCTGGTGTCACGTATTCATCCGCTTATAGAAAAGTGGTTAATGACATTTACTGTCCACACAGGAAAAGTTGTGCCGAGCAGCAACCTAATCCACAGAAGGGTTAATGCTGAGCAGCAATTATGCAAATGAAACCTGGTAACTGACTTTGGGGTCAAAGGCCGGTTACAGCCTATCAGAACTAAAGGAGGGGTATTTAGGCCCAGTTCTCAGCCTGCTCAGTGCCCTGTCGTGGTTTCCCTTGTGGTTGTCCGAGAGCGCGTTCCTGTTTATAGTTTTCTACCTGGTTTTTGACTTTGGCTTTGTTTAATGACTTCTCTATATTCTGGTATCCTGACTCCTGGCTTTCCTCATCGCTGTGTCCCTTTCTGTGTTCCCTGACCTCGGCTAGTATCTTTGTACGTTAAATCCGGCCATTCTAAGGACCGGTAATACGTTACTTATTTGTCATCCGTGCTGTACAGTTCTACGTGCTGGATCAAACAGTAATCCTGACAGTGAGGTAACAAAACACGAAAAATGCCAAGGGGGGGGGGGCGAATACTTTTGCAAGGCACTGTACATCTTTAATATACATTTTATTTCTATAACTTTCTCTTAATTTAGAGCAATTTTTTTTTCATGCTGTTGCCCCACTACCTCCCCCTTGGACTAGCGGGATTGGTCCCTGTCCACATCTTGGAGGCTCCCCTTTTACTTCAGGGCCACGTGATGCTGCCGTAAGACTATGCAGAAAATATAGCTTCCAACTTTACATGGTGGCCACCATGAGCTCCTCCATAAAGGGGATGCGTTGAGATGTCCAGTAATATCTCGCAAAATCTCTGCTGATTTTTGACAGAATGGACAAAATAGACTGCACCAATCTGCTCCGTGGTTGCCGAGCAACTACTTACCTCAAAGCCAATCCTACATCCCCAGTGCAATTCTAGCACATTCAACCACAGAGAAGGCACGACTAGCCTTGGAGAGGGTGGACTGTGAACCTGCATTGGTGGTTGGTCTACACTAGGTAAGTCTTGGGACTCCTTGGAGGGCTGTAATACAGAGAGAAAAACTAATGACAACTATGGGCCTCTCCTATTACCATGCTTGGAAAACACATTTAACTACACATGGGAAACTAGGTCTGAAGAACTTCTTCATACTGTGGAACTGTGTACAGCTCTTGGAGACTACACGCTGATCTGGGTACCTCGTTGTCCTCTCGTCTCCTATCACTGCTTCACAAAATTAGTCGATATGGAGCAACCGTTTTAGTTTTTGGTGTTCCTATTCACTTACTGACAGCCGATATCTTATTTCTTAGGCCTTAATTGTTCTGGACGTTTACCTACTAGATGTCTAGGAACCTCCTGGGTGAATTGTTCTTTTGGAAACACAACTGTATACATACCAGACAGATAGATATATAGCTCTGTGATTAATGCAATACTTGTCATTGAAACATAGAATGTGACGGCAGATAAGAACCATTCGGCCCATCTAGTCTGCCCAATTTTCCAAATACTTTCATTAGTCCCTGGCCTTATCTTATAGTTAGGATAGCCTTATGCCTATCCCACGCATGCTTAAACTCATTTACTGTGTTAACCTCTACCACTTCAGCTGGAAGGCTATTCAATGCATCCACTACCCTCTCAGTAAAGTAATACTTCCTGATATTATTTTTAAACCTTTGTCCCTCTAATTTAAGACTATGTCCTCTTGTTGTGGTAGCTTTTCTTCTTTTAAATATAGTCTCCTCCTTTACTGTGTTGATTCCCTTTATGAATTTAAATGTTTCTATCATATCCCCCCTGTCTCGTCTTTCCTCCAAGCTTATACGTGTTAAGATCATTTAACCTTTCCTGGTAAGTTTGATCCCGCAATCCATGAACCAGTTTAGTAGCCCTTCTCTGAACTCTCTCTAAGGTATCAATATCCTTTTGAAGATACGATCTCCAGTACTGCGTACAATACTCCAAGTGAGGTCTCACCAGTGTTCTGTACAATGGCATTGTATCTCTTTGCTATACCATGATATTGGGCCCAATGTGGTATTGTTCTGCCATTGCACAAAAAAGTAGCCAAGCTGTGACTATGGAAAATTGGAGATTTTTTATTTTCTTTAAATCCGCTAGTTTTTTCCTCAATTTTGTTTTTCCAAATTAATATGTTAAACTTAGATTTTAATGAATAATTCTGTAAGGGTTTCTATCTCCAATCCCTTTTCCCTTCTTCCTTTTCTTAAGATATCAGAACCTCCTAATCAACAAGGATTTCTTGTTCAGCCTTACTCTCTCACCATATCGCCCTCCTCACAATAATATCGATTCCCTGCTTCCTATCTTCATCATCTTAATAGACTCCTCAGCCGCAAATCTTTTCATATCCTCACAGTCTCTTCCTTCCCTTCCAAGCAACTTTTTATTTTTATTATTCAATAACTTTAATGTTTAGATGTTTAGCATTGCGCTGTGCCTTGATTTATCCCTTGCACGTTTCACAAAGTTATGAGCACATTTAATTGGGCCTACAGGGTTGATAGATGCCTCTGTGTGCCATATGGCATAGGTTTCCCATCACTTTTCTAAGCTACAAACCCATGTCTCTACAGGTGAGCCTTTTTGTCTTCCCATGGACAAATATCTTCCAGCATCTAGTCCAATGTATGTCCCATATTTATTTATTAATAAAATATTTTTACCAGGAAGGATACAAGGATACACTCAGTAGCTATATGCGCAATACCATGTTTGCCATGGTGATTTTATGAGTAATAAAACAATGTTAAAATAAGCAACTATGTTAAAGGAAGAAAAATGTGAGCACTATTTACTTGTAAAACAGATATTAAATCAGACTTCGCAGAGCCCTCCTGTGGCCAGACTGAGAATTGCATATAGCACAAATTTGTTCAAATTTAACTCGCTTCACTTTTCTTTTTAAATACTAGCACTTAAATATTTTAGATGCTGTCAGAGAAATCAGTTGTCATACCATTTGCAGTAGCTTGCAAAAATGACAAACACATGCATATAGTAACCTCTTAGAGAAAGTTCATGTTAACACACTGTTCTTATAGTCATCCATCAGAACCGCAAGGTTTAAAAATCTTTAGAGATTATTTAAATGAATTTTTTTTTTTTTTTTTTTACAATTTTTTATTTTCTGTATTGGGGTAAAGGGGTACAAAAGGAAAGGAGGGTTCAGCAGATGGTGGTTTTTTTTTTTTTTTTTTTTTAAATCAATTAATCCCGTTTTTTATATTTTTAACGGAGTAGATCCTGACTAGGCCTTTACAGATTTCATATAAAACTTTGTACTTTGATCATTGTAATCATCTCGCAGGTGATTGGCTGTCGCTTGCCCAAATGTTACCAGCACATGCTTTCCACCTGATCAAATAGTCAGACATAGGTCCTTGTGAAACAAAAGTTTGCAACAGGGTTGATCCAGGAGGGGTATGCCAAATGATTTAGGTAAATTAGAAAAGAGTTGTGTCAACTGACATTTAATGTGAATAAGTGCAAGATAATGCTTCTTGGATACAAAAACCAAAGGGCAGAGTACAGAATATTTGATAGTCCTAACCTCAACATATGAGGAAAGGGATTTAGGGGTGATTATTTCAGATGACTTAAAGGTAGGCAGACAATGTAATAAAGCAGCAGGAAATGCTGCAGAATGCCTGGTTGTATAGGGAGAGGTATTAGCAGTAGAAAGAGGGAAGTGCTCATGCCATTGTACAGAACACTGGTGAGACCCCACTTGGAGTATTGTACACAGTACTGGAGACCGTATCTTCAGAAGGATATTGATACCTTAGAGAGGGTTCAGAGAAGGGCTACTAAACTGGTTCATGGATTGCGGGATAAAACTTACCAGGAAAGGTTAAAGGATCTTAACATGTATAGCTTGGAGGAAAGACGAGACAGGGGGGATATGATAGAAACATTTAAATACATAAAGGGAATCAACACAGTAAAGGAGGAGACTATATTTAAAAGAAGAAAAACTACCACAACAAGAGGACATAGTCTTAAATTAGAGGGGCAAAGGTTTAAAAATAATATCAGGAAGTATTACTTTACTGAGAGGGTAGTGAATGCATGGAATAGCCTTCCAGCTGAAGTGGTAGAGGAAAACACAGTAAAGGAGTTTAAGTATGCGTGGGGTAGACATAAGGCTATCCTAACTATAAGATAAGGCCAGGGACTAATGGGAGTATTTTGAAAATTGGGCAGACTAGATGGGCCAAATGGTTCTTATCTGCCGTCACATTCTATGTTTCTATGTTTCCAGGGAGTTTGCTTGCTGCCTGAAGGAGGCCACAACATCGTGCCCAACTCCCAGCCTTTAACCTCACCACCTCAGTTGAGGTGACCCCTCGAGGACCCCCCTACCAGCCACCAGTGCTGCGCGGGCTGGCTCCACCCCGTGAAGTTCGGCATCTGTCCGCCACTTCTGAACCTGTCCCCAAAAGGGGGTCCTGTATCAGCAAATACACCAGACGCATCTGGACAACTTGGGCCAGACTAGTCTACTCCATGGGGTTTAACGCTACTAGAATGAGCCCTCTGGAGCCTACCACCCTTCAGGACATGTAGTCCAACCAAGGAGTCCAGAGCTGCACACATTGGTCAGATCTGCCCTGAAGTGATGCTGTTAATGTTTCTATATTGTATAGTTCTTATACTTTAGCCAACCATTACTGTATCGTGGGGATGTCCGCCATCCACCATTTTGTAGGGATTAGCAGGGGACGGGTCAGCGCGATTCGAATGAAGATGAAGCATAGGAAGGGGTTGTTTCAGTAGATCGGTGTCCAAGATTTCCGAAATTAGACCATGGCTCCTGTCCCAGAACGGGGTGATCATGACCACCATATGTGAATGTCCGTGTTAATTTTACGTTCACACCTCCAGCATATCTCTGAAGCTCTAGGGTACATTCGGTGATGCCTGTCCGAAGTACGACACCAGCCTGTGATCAACTTGCAATTTAGTTCATGCATCTTGGTACTCGCTGTACCTTTTATGGGCCAGGATGTGATTCTTCTACCATTGGTTATCAAAGAGGGTGACATTGGTGTTCCGTTCCCAAATCGCGATATACCGAGCGGGGCCTTTGGGTGTCTCTGTGAGCAACATGTTATATAGTAACAATATACCCTGTTGGGGGTGCTCTGTAGTGGCATAAAGACATCAAAGGAAGGGAGTTCCCTGTGTATCAAGTGCTTGCCTGGGATGGAAGTATAATAGCTCTTTGGTGATAAACTGACGTTTTGCATGCCAGATGGTGGTCACTCCGGAAGCCGTTCCAGTAGGCGCCGCAAGCCATTTGGCGTGCACCATTGCTGTGTGTGAACCCAGTCTGAGTTTGTTTTCAAGGACCCCAAGATCTCTGCTGGAGACTGTACCTGCTACCTTAGGGTTAAAGGTGTCGGGGGGGATAGAGTTGTGATAAGGCAAGCAGTCATTTGGAGTGAGCACCACCTTCACAGTAGCTCCGATTAGTGGGTGTTCACATACGAGCTTCTCCTTGAGTGATTCCGCCGACCAAGGCTGGGAGGGAAGACGTCCTTGGATTTTTATTTATTTATAATTTCTGCTTGTTGATTGCGTGCCAGTCGACTAGCCTGAGGAGATGAACAGGGCGGTAATAAGTCTGAATTGGCGGGAGGCCAACTCCACCTAGCCTCTTTGGCAGAGATAATTGGGATTGTCTAAACCTGGGGAGGCTGACAAATTTAATTAGGGCTGAGTTAAAAGATTGGAAAAAAAGCTTTTGGCATGCTGATAGGGATGGTTTGGAATAAATAAAGCAACCGAGGCAAAAGAGGTTTGTCTTGGCCGCGTTAATTCTACCAAATCACAACACACACAATCTCACAATTACAGCTGGCTTAGGTCTCTAGTTAGCCGACTGCCATCACTATATTTAAAAGCAAACTGCAGAAATGACTGAGCTCTGCTTGAGTATAAGCAATTCGGAGTGCCTATGATTTTGTCCGCATTGAGTTTAAGGTTCGAAAGCTTGCCGTATGTCGAGAATGCCGACCAGTAAGTTGGGAAGGGAGTTTAGGGTAGTCTCAAGGAAAATGTGAGCAGATCACATGCATACGCAGTGACCTTATGGCAAACTCCTCCACATGTGAACCCCGTTCCCCACCATCTTGTTTGGCCGCCTCCAGAAAAGGGAGAGCAGCCACATCAACACAATAATATTTCCGTCATGTGTCCTTAAGGAGTTAAGGTCATTATCTGCTTATTCAGAATTTACAATCTTCTCTATCATCTTATGCTGCTGCGGATGAACTACAGTCCAGTCCTGGACAGCATTTTCTAGATAAGGGTCAAACCTGTCAGACTTTAATGAGAGGTCACTGATTGGTGCAGGCTCTCTCTGGTTTCCTGGTCTTGGAGTGACTCTCATGTGATGCATCTGACTTTGCCAGTGTAGTAGAAATTCAAAGGTTATTTCTCTATATAATGCATCAAAATGGGGTCACACTCATCAGAAAGTCATTTAACTGTGACACTGCCCTAGAGTGAGCTGAATGGCATGTGTCAGATACCAGTCCCTTGTGCTATGTGGTACATTGTGCAGCCAGAGTGTCGAACGGGTTTGTTTCTCACGATTGTACATAAACCGCATCTTCCTTGAACTCACTGCAGTTTCTGTGAAGAAACACTTCCTCAAATTTCCACTTAATGTAGGCAGCCACCATTCAGACTGAGAGACCAACTCCATTTTCTAGTACTTCTGTTTATCTGAAACTCATTTCTTCTACTGTATGTTTTTCAAGAGTGCAAAACACACGTGTGAAAGCTCATTTGGTTAATGCAATAATTTTAGAATGTTACATTTATATAAAGTCTAGGGTGCCTTGAACACACAATCTGCATTATCAATGTAGATTTATGTGTGATGCCGGCAGTATTACATTTTATTTATTTATTTTCCCTAGAATAGTCTTGCTTTTCACGCTGACAAATGAGAGTAGTAAGACGGGAATCTAATCTCAAACTATACTGACAACCACAAACCTGGAGCAAGAGGAGATGGACAAAAGATATACGCTAAAGATCAATGCAGTGTATTCGCAGAAAAGTGGTGGAACCAAGCAGCTGCAGCAGACTGACACTCACTGTATGGGCTCCGTAACATCTCACTATATTCCCGACTTTCCATCAGTCCCCCGACCCGAAAACTGAGGTGCAGGCACACCCATTTGCCATTGGTTGCAAGACCAAAAAACAAACCCGACTAGCCCAGAACGGGTATAAACGTTTAAGATCTGCTGAGGCAAGTGCATGGCCACCGACATCGATGACTTCTCTCACTCGGATAATGTACATACTCATTTGCACTGACATATCTAGAGTTAGCACTCCTAGTATTTATATAAATTTGAGACAACTTCTCGTTAATTATCTCTTAGGCCGCCTACAGGTTTGCCTATTATATGTACGCTCTGGGATCTCTATATAACTAAAAGAGACTCACCATACTAACCACAGCTCTAACTGTACATTTCCTGTGCTTATTTGCTCGTTAATGTTGAATTGTTTCTATAGCTTTGTACTGACCTTACGTGATGTTATTTCTATAATGACCGTCAGATGAGCAAAAAAATTAAGAATTAAAGAAAAAGAATATAGCAGAAAATCCCAGCTTCTACCTTTTTAAAGGAACACTATATAGTGTCAGGAATACAAATGCAGTCAAAAGGTTATTTTACTCCCTTTTTCTCACACGCTCCGCCGCAACAGCTGAGATCCTCAATCCTGATCTCAACCAATCCAATGCTCTCCTATAGGAAAACCTTGGGAGGCTGTGGTGGATGCCATCTACCCGTCTAAAAGTTTAAAAATAATTTATCTATTCTTCTGGCTCTCCCTACCTTCCCATCAATGTAGCCCCTAGAGCATCACACTCCACCGTGCCTGCTAGTAGCCAGGGAGAGCTGGAGTATCTCACTGCCTTGAGCAGAACCTGACCATATTTCTTCTTGAACTCCGGCTCAGGCACAAGCATCACATGAGCCCTGTCAAATTGTCCCACTGTTTTGACCTCTTACCAGAGTGATAAGAGAGCGCTATTTAGAGGGGAGGTACAGGGCATACCTAAGAATACTCGCTTTCTGAGAGCCCAGCTTCTTCAGCCCACAGGAGCCCCCGTAAAATGATTGGGACCTAGCCGCAACCGGCCTGGAACTATTTTTGACAGGACTTCCATAGTGAATCAGTGTATCTCTATAGGGAAAGTTCAGTGCCTCCATGCAGCACTGACACCGGAAGCACGTTTAGTGGCCGTCTGAGTGAATGCCACTAGAGGTGTTACTAGGCAGCAATGTAAGCACTGCTTTTTTATTTATTAATTTTTTCTAAAAAGGCAGTGTTTACAATGCTACCACTGCAGGGACTGGCTATAGACCCCCAAAATCACTACAACAAGCTGTGATTATGGTGTCTATAGTGTCCCTGTTACCTTATCTAGATATCAATCCTAACGTGGGTACCTGGAGTATGGCTTTATTTGTAAAGAACTGTTTATTTTTTTAAGTAAGAATTTTTACTCTAAAACAAAATTCTCAACACGTCACTTGTTAATGTATAGTTCATTCTTGGGTTGCATTTTCAAATAGTTTTTTAGAGGAAATTTTTCTCAATAAGGGTTTTTTTTGTTTTGTTTTTGTTTGTAGTTACAGAGCTATACCACAGGAAGGAAACCTAATTCATTGATCTATTTTTGCAGATATTTTAATTTTCTTGTCTTTATTACACAATCTGCATAAAGTACATAGAGAGGATTTTATGGTTGGAAACTGGTGAAAGTCCACCTTGCTTAGAAAAGAAGTTATATGATGTGAAACTTTGTCCCCAGTCAAAAACATCAAGGAAAACAGAGTTCTTACATTTTGAGTCTGACTTGTAGGCTCTTGTCCAAATTCTCTTTTAGCGCTGTCCAACAGTAGCTCCCTGTGTCTTTCTGAATATGTTCCTTAGTGTCCAACCAGGCTTAGGACCTCACTTTTGGACATCATCGTAATGTAGTATAAAACAAACAAAATAAACGCTGCATATTTCTGCATGTGAGGATCTAAAAAAGGATTACTATCACACGTTTGTTGTCGTTCCAAACGTAAAAACTGTTGGACAATCCACCACTTGGTCAGTAAAGAAGGAATCATGGAGAACTATGAAGAAACTGTCTCACAGATCAATAAAACAATTGAAAGATTTGATGGATAATAAATTTCCCTTGTATTTAATTATTTTATCAAATACATGGTAAATGTATTATCCTTCAATTAATCTATGAGACCGCTCCTAGTTTCATGTGGTATTCGATCATGAATATTTAATCAATTTACTAATAATGTTTATGGAAGTTTTATTGGTGAGGGTTCCTTAGAGGAAGTATTTTTAAAAATTTTTTTTTTTTTTTTTGTCTGGAGCATTTGATGCTCAATATAGGGTTACCCTCACCAGGCAACCCTATCAGAACCCTTATTACATATGGGGGTTCTGGTGTGAAAAATAAAATTAAAGTATATCCTGGAGAAACTTGCAATTTATTAAGTTTATTCACTAAACTAGAAATTAAAGAGAAGGAATTATGGTTTAAACATAATTTCATTACAAATTGGTTTTGTCTGCCTTGTCTGGAATGTAAAACATTATCATTTATAAGAATGTATTCTTTCCGATAAAAAATAAAAACCCTTTTAATTTGGGGACTGGTGGTGTGTCCTAGGGAAACTCTTTTAATACAGCAATGTGTAAGTGTTCACTTCTAGACAGTCTGACCTGTATGGATGGCTGAAGCCAGTCCTAGCAGAAAGTAATTCTTGGGCAGATGGCACAGAGATAACCCGGGTATGTGCGAGAGCTGAAATAAAGCCTGATCTCCTAGACAAACACACTGACTGAATTTGACCGCGAATCGAGGAAGCATTTTTTTTTTTTTTTTTGCTGACAGCTTCCTAAAGATCAGTAACAGCAAAAACAAACTGACCATGTTTTCTGTGTTAAATGCCATTCTCCGTGTAGTCATGTGAACGAGGTTCCGTGATTATATTAATTCAACCCCAAGCTACAATCTTAAGTATAGTCACTGTATCTCCCATTCTGCGGAGGCTCCTGGTGTTTTTTCTGTAATTAAATGATCTAGAAGTTAAACTGCATGGTGGCTAGTCATGAGTAATCTAGGCTGACCAACCTCTTGCTTTCGCATGCTCTTTCTGCTGTAAAGCAAAGACTTAAATAGGACCCTTAGCTGTTGTAGCAATACCATACACCTGCTGTTTGCCAGCCCTCACAGCCGAGGGTACACCACTTACACATTTATTACAATAGTGATGAGCGACCGCTGTACAAGTGTGAATCTACACTCCAAATTTCCCATATTGGAAGAGCATTATGGGGGATGAAATGCTTCTACAGCTGTATAATTACCTGCTAGCCACCCCTTTATGTAGTACGTGACATTCCACAGATGGAATATGTGTTTTAGTCCTATGATTGTCCTATATATTCTCGTATCTCATGTAATAAAACCCTCTTGTTTTCCACACTAGGATCCAGCACTTTAAAAAGTGTATCCGGTTTATTCACGAGTCTCGGCTCCATGGAGGTGGATGTCTAGTTCACTGGTAAGTCATTTTATATTCGTTTATCTGGGAGGGAAGGGGTAAATATATATAGCGGCACAGCTAGCAACACTGATGAAAACCTGCCAACGTTTCCACAGTGTGACACCACTACCAGGAGCCACGTTCTAGAACCCCGTAGAGGTGGCATGCCAACAAACCATTAGTTAATCAGAGTAAGGGAAACGCGGAACAATTAGATGTCGTTGGATCCAGGACGCCCACTACTTGCTTTATAGATAAAAACAAGAACATTTTACAGTCAGAGGATGATGGAGCTCGGTACATAGCTGTGGCTGCCTTTCAACATGTGACTACAAAAGCAGCAGAAGGAGTCACAGCTTCCTTTTTGTTACAGACCTGGAGGCGTGGGGAGTCGAACATTGCTCAGGCACTATGACAAGTAGTGGGTTTCACGCTAGTTTTATGAATGGTGGAAAAACTCCAGAGACCAGAGTGGTGGAGCTGCTTTGTCTGACTAAGATGTTGGCAACAATATAAAGTTATGTCAACAAGGTAGAGAATACTTGTGACAGACTAAAGTGGGGAGATTGAGGCATCGTGTTACAATGTGACAGTCTGAGCAAGGGAGCTTTAAATATCATAACTTATGTGGGTAATTCATTGCACCATGTGAGTAAAATCAACATGTTTACACTCTGCAATCTCGAATACAGTTTCACAAGCTCCCCCCACAAAAGCCAGCGCAAATTATTCTCTGTTTGGGTCATCATTATTCGAGTAGCGATTGCCTTTATTTATTGCAAAAAAAGTCAAAAAGCATTAGTTGGGTATCGGCAGAATACACAGGATTATTCAGTAAAGTGTTTTGTCAGGAATTCCAAGTAAATTTCAAATTTTAGTTACAAACTTGCTTAACAGAAAACAGAGCTGATTAGGGTTTTTTTTTTTCCATTATGGCTATTTTTGGTCTAATCGAGGCCTAAGTTGGGGTGCTGCAGTCCTGGAAATTAGAGGCAGTCATTACATTGTTTAAAACATAATAAAGGACTTAAACCAAATGCAAATGTCAGAAATGTTGAAATTAAATTGCTATTTTGACAAAATTTTGCAATATAGCAAAGCCGTGACTAGCTCTGAGTTGGAGAATTTGTTCTTTCAAATTTCATGTTTATTAGAATTAATCGTTCAGTGAATAGATCCTGTTATATTATCTACTTTTCTGGTTGCTTGGGAGTCTAAAGAGGCTTTACCAGATGGTTTGTACTTTTTTTTAAATAATTTACATAAAAACTTGGTTTTATACAAATGTTTAGAACAGAACCAAAATGTGGGTAAAAACAAAGCCCACAAAAAAAAGGGGGGTTATAAATTGCAGTTCATTCACAAAGTCATTATGACTCCTATCAGAAATGTGAGTCAAACGTCACAGCTGTAGAAGGTTTACTTCGCTATAGTTGAGTAAATTGACCTTGAAAAAAGAAACTATTTACATTTTATTTCCTAATGAGCCAATTGGAAATCAAGTTTGTTTGGGGGCTTTCAAGAAAAATAACCCATAATCCCAACTTAATCTTTAGTATATATTTCCTATTTCTGGGGCTTTTTTTCTCCCAGCTGTTTATTTTTATTATGTAGGGTATTCTGTATTTATAAAATGCTCCTTATTGCACAGGGCTGTACGGTGCATTTAGAGCATCTCACTAAACTAAACTAAATTTTGCATTTCTGTTCCACACCAACAGCCTGGCTGGAGTATCTCGCAGCACAACTATTGTGGTGGCCTATCTCATGACTGTGACAAATTTGAGCTGGGAAGACTGTCTTTCAGCTGTGAAATGCGTCAGGTCCTATGTTGACCCAAACTTTGGTTTTCAGCAGCAGCTTCAGGAATACCAGATGAATTACGTTACAGAGGTATGGAACTTCCCTCCGTCTTTAACAAACTCTTAAAACCTTTTAGTGTTTAGTGTCATTTTAGTGTTTTCTTATACCGATATTGGACATTTTGTAATAAAATGTGCCATGTTTTTATGCAAGAGAGGTAAGGCCACTGAAAGTTAATAGGGTCTGTTTCCGCGTACGCACGATATATGAATTTAAACATAGAGTTTCAGAAATAATTTTGACTTGATCCATACTCTGCTAAATAGAAATAGGCTCCAGTGATACAGTGCAAATATACACTACCAGCCATAGTAAAGGCAATCCACAAATCCGTGTCACACACTACAGTCCTTTGTTATACATAGTATTCTACAAACAGACCCCTTTGCACACTATAACCCTCTACACACATGCAACCTCCAAACACTTACAACCCCCCAGAGAGCATCCCCACACATGCTCAACACCTTAACTGACATGTTCCACCTTTGTTCTCTGGTATCCCACTATTGATGACACCAGAGACAAGTCACTAGCAAATGCATGCGCTGTGCAGAGAAGGAAAAAAAAAAAAGGGAAATTTACTCCACAGAGAGCACTGGATGCTGTGGAGAGGCATGACACTAATACTCATTTTTGTGGGGTTTGGTGAAAGGGGCCCTTGTCAGTGAAAACATAACACATCCCTTTCTGGCTCCTCTCCTGCCCACAACAGGTGTTTAAGTGGAGGGTATTGAACAGTGTCCCTGATAACTAGTTGGACTCAAACTCCAGTTTACTCTACCAGCCAGTGACTTGCAGTCCGGTAGCAGCTAGTGGGCAGTTTGACACTATGGTTTTATCCTTGAACTGATCTTGCATCATGTTTTCTTGTGTTGACTTTTAACGATTTTGTGAGGCCCCACACTTAGAACAAAAACACTATGTGATTTCCAGGCAATTCAAGATGTAATGTGGCTGCTTTTCTACAGACTGAACACATACCGGTTCATAGCCTGTGCCCACTGGCTTTAAAACCCACATCACTAAACTGAGCCGTGCAGTTTTCATTACAGTGGAAACCAGGGAATATAGATCAAGTCCCATGACCTGCGCCTATAGAAATGAGTCACATGTTCCTCAGACTAGTGCCTAATGTGACAAATCACTCAACCTCTTTCTGCATTTCACAACATGCAATGGATATTCCCACAAGGGCTTCCCCTACACAAGCTCTACACCATGCCGAAAACACATGATATCAAGAGGGCAAAAATGGTGTAAATAAAAAAAGTGTTAAAAAAAAAAAAAGTGTATATATAAAATTTCTTAGGCAAGTAACGTGTGTGTGTATGTGTATGTGTATGCATATATAAGAATATTAAAGGAACACTTCATAGAAATATTTTTAGTAGATATACTCCAAATAATCTAACTATTGTTGCATGTTTTTCTTGGGGGGAGTATATTACATCTTGGTTTGCAATAGCTGCAGATTATTCTTTATCATTATTGGCATTTATATAGCTCAACATATTCTGCAGAGCTTTAAGAAGACCCTGTTTAAACAGGCTTACAATGTAGGAGCAGGTCTAGTATAACTATTCTGGGCTTCTCACTAGACATTTGCAATTTGTTTCGTTCTGAATCTAAATTTTTCTGACATTGGAACGAATAAAAACTAATTATTTTGGATCCATTTGTTTTAAATAAGGATTGCAAACTAGGTAGTTATTTGCTCAACAACCAAACATGGCGTTTCTTAAGCTTATACTTTCAGCTGTTCAGTAGATGGCTCCCTTATGCGTATCCATAAATATGGAAATTCCATGAAAGGATAGAAAATTAGGGAGTTAAATAACGAACAGCTGAAAGATCAAATTTAAGAATTAATTCTTACTTTTTAGCCTTTCAGCTATTTAGTGGACAACTCCTTAATTTGGTACCCCTTGTGTTTGATTACACTTTTTAAGTATACGAACTTATGGAGCTACTTGCGAAAAAATACCCCTGTAGGGAATAATGGGGGTCAGAATCTCAGAAGCCAGTACATTTTTCTGAATTGTTAATTTCAGAATTTCAGATGAACTGAAATTCAAAAACAAACAAAAACCCTGCTGACCAGCTATTTAATTAGCAGCTGTCTAATCACTGCTTCTTTGTGCAGGTGCCTGCTTTTTGACTTTATTTCCACAGTGCTAAACTCCTCGGAACAAAGACTCCCTGTCTGATAACCAGTGCGTTCTAACAGGGCTCAAATATGAATAAAGTGATGATTTCTACTGAAATCTGCATCGTTAATACAATTGAAGAAAAAGAGCACACTCTACACACACACAAAGAACTTCAGAAAGCTGAACAGCTTTATGCTCCCCAATATAAGTAACCAAACTGTCTAATGGTTTGACTTTTTACCTAGAGTCGGGTGGTTACCCGTCACTGCCTTGAGCTAACTCCAATTTGTAAATGCGTGCTAAACCTGTATACTGAAACCTGTGTAGAGTTCTACAGACTGCATGGCTCAATATTACATTTATATATACATTTATTTTTTTAACAGACTTCCGATTTGTATGTATAGCATAACGGGAAACAGAATTGTATAAATGAACCAAGAACTGGTTCAGATCTCTGATTGGTCTCGGAGTGTGACATGCAAGTGTGCAAATTCAGCACCTGCATTGTTGGTTTACACAGAACTGAATAGAGGGCTCCTCACACATTGGTTTTGTATCTGTGAGTGTGAGATCAACATTTCCTTTTCAAGTGGGTGAGGAAGGGCTTCATATTATTTTTTATAGTTGAAATACTTCTAATGTGTTTTACATTTAAACAAAAGCAGGTACACCAGTTCAGACTCCCGTGCATGGCAACATAGCATATCTGCTATGCCAGGTCAATTTATCTATAGGGAAAACGATAAACAATGATAGACCATGAGGCGTTTTGTCTGCAATCCTTTTACTATCGTGGCTGCTTGTGGTGTGAGATTCTGTGTAATCTGTTGGTATACTGTAGCCTTTCCACTGATAGGAATGGAGTTACAATACACACTGCTGGTGGAAAACCAGATACAAATATTAGACATTACACTGGTAAGTAGAATGTAGCAAAGAGCCAGATATTCTGCAATGTTCCTGATCCCCTTGCCCCAAAAGCAGTAAGTAGTACTCTTACACAAATTCTGACATTCTATGCAGAGGGTGGGTGTGTGCACCTATAAAAAGACCTAATACCCCATCTGATGGACTTTATAAACATATTGGACGTTTTAATAAGCAATGCATTAATAAAGTTGACATTGTAAGACATAAACCACAATTATTGCTCCAATGCAATTAAAGACAATTATTTTTAAAAAATATGAAAATGTAATTTATTGGTTGGCATCTTAAAAGTGCCGAACCACGGAAAGTGTATCCAGTGTGAACTCCAAATAATTCTGAGAGGGGACAGTAAGACACATTCCTTGCAGCTACACCAATAATGTGGGAAGCCAATGCTAAAATGACGTATTACAATAATTGTCCAATAAAAGTTAAAATTTCATTTGTGTGTCAGACACATTTAGTTCCGAATAAAACCAGTTCAAAGCAGAGGAGGCTGCAAAGCAGAGCAGTGTGGGAATAACTAACAAAACCCGGTCCACTCCTTTCTGATAGGAACAGGTATTGCGTGTGAGATAATCGTAGAAAGGTGACACCAAAACAGCAGGATTTTTTTCTGTGGCTGACCATAAATGTCAGAGATGGCTGTGTAGCTCAGACAGGAAAGGACATAGAGAGAGAGAGAGAAAAAACACTCACAGTACACTGACAAAAAAGGAAGCACTTAAGAAAAGCACACAGTACATCAAAGGGGAAATAATTTATTTTAATTTTAACCCTGAAAGAAACATCAAAGTGACAGGCAGCTCCCTGACAGGTTTTGGTGTCTGTGTCTATTAAAAATAACACCGTATTTATCCAGGAAAGGTACATTCAGCTATACTCTGGTTTCCAAGTACATCCTGGGGATATTACCGTTGCCCAACATCCATGGGATGTTAATAGTTGTAATATAATCTCCTCTATAGCCCCGGGTATCTGTTATTAAAGGGACACTCCATGCATGATAACCGCGTATAACTTATGGTACATGTTATATTGTGGCATCCAAATATACAGAATTGCCAACAGTTGCATGCAAATCATTACTTTTTACAGGTGTAAATATACATAAATACCTGGAATTTTTTATTTATCACTTTTTAAAATCAATAAATATAGATTTTAATTCAGTCAATACCAATAACAGAAGTAGGAATGAACAGTACAAGACGAGGGGGGTGACAGAGTATGTGTCTCCTGTGGTTAGCTATCTACATTTTACATAAACATTCTCTAATTTAAAGGCACACTATAGGCAACCAGACTACCTCATCTCATTGACGTATTCTGGGTGCAGTATCCCTGTCCCCTTAACCCTGCAAGTTAATACATTGTTTCAGTTTCTTGTGACTGTCTATCAGACGCTGTGCATGAGAATGTTCAATGTCTTGTAAAACCCCATAGGAAAGCATTGAGTCAATGCTTTCCTATGTGGAAGGCCTAATGTACGTGCGCCTCTCGACTGCCTATGCGCACTAGGTTCCCGGGTTACACTGACGTCGGAGGAGGAAACTAATCCAGCACTGAGGGACCTCAGCACTAGAATCAGGCAAGTGTTTAAAGGGTTTTTGTTTAACCCTTTAGATCCCTTGAATTTTAACACTTTACTTCCACCCACCATAATATACAAGCTACATCACACACGGGTAATAACCGCTTCGGGTAATTCATCCTCAAAGTGATCATGAAAAAGGGTGATGTAGAAAGAGTAGTATTTGCAGAGACCAAGGAAGGCTGACCTTTCTCTTTCTCTTTAGCTGATTTCACTTCAACAAGTGAAGAATTTAAAGGAAGATGGGAAAGTGTTTAACTCGTATTTCAATAATTCCTAACCACAAAGACAGAGAGAGAATGATGTCTCAGGATAAGTTCAAATAATCAATACTGCAGAATGAGATTTACTAAGACTCCCTCTCTCCAGGTTCGTGATTGAATTCTATGTCGTGGCTAGAACATCCTTTACTTTTCTCACTGAGATTCATTATAATAGCTGTCACAGAGGGCCATTCGATCTGTGTATGTAGGACATGATCTGACATTTATTTCAGTGAGCAGATACGGTATTAGAACCATGTGGCCAACACACTAACCCTTGTCTAAAAATACCATGTCATAATGATGTAATATAAAAGATATACAGTGAGGAAGTGTGTATGTGCTTAAAATAAGGCAATCTCTGGGTTTTGGAAACACACCTCTAAAAGTGTCTGTCTGTCTGTCCTTGCACTCTTGCTGTGTTCTCTAATTGCCGGGTGCTTTAACCAAGCTGCGGTATACAAAATAAATAAAAGATTGTAGCACTCACGGTCTTCTAAGAATAAAAAGCTTTTCTTGATTAATCCTTTCCGGGTTCTCATTAATGTGTGATGTAGTTTAGGTCAACGTTTCAGTCCCTGCTTTAAACTTTCCTCAGGACCCCATGGGGGGAAAAAAAGTAACTTTACATTAATGCTTGCAGGTTGCACAGGTTTTCTTTAGCAATCAAAGGGCAGTGTCACATGATCACCCCAAACAACCTCGCGTTCTGGAAGTACCATACATATATAGGTCTTACTGTGGTCACCGAATGTGTCATTTCCAGTAATATTTCCTCCTTATTTACAGTGAAGCATGCCAGTAGAAACTAGGAATGTGGGAGCTAGGTGTTAATGGGGGCCCCAAGATTTATATTTTATTTCATGTAATGGGGGAAAGCGATCAATAGCAAGATTTCTGCTCACTGTCAGCCAAGGTTTCTTTGTATTGGGTATTTGATAGATCATTTTATGTTGTCGTGTTCAGGAATTGGAACAGTGGTTTAAGGAGAGGAGCTTGGCTTATTTTCTATTTTCTGCCCTCCCTCCTCAGGGAGCAATGCCCTCTGTATAGCTAGATTAATTTCCAGGGAATCCCTGTGTATTACTGACATTATGAGAGCGATTCCCCCAGCTCACTGTTACTGGTGACCTCAGCTAAGGTTTTCCCCAGCATTATTCCTCTGCATGGGATTCTCCCTCTCGGGGACAAGACCTCATGCTCTGATTTCTCAGTCCTCTCCCTGACTGATCCACAAACCTTAATCGAAGGACTGCAGCTGGTGGATTAGGTAGTAATGATATTTGAGTTTCTGTATTATTCCAGACCTGCAAATGCAAAATAATAAAGTATTGCACATCAATAGACACAATGGCACTTACTTTCAGCACTGTGCACATCAATATGGTCTGCTAGCAGACACTAAATGTTCAAGGCGTATAAACCAGCCACGGGAGCCATAACTGAATACTTTAATCAAGGTGGATGACTGGTTGTCTAAACACTCAATATTTTATTCATTGGCTTTAGCTGTACAGTGCAGTTATTCCATATCACAAGTGATTGGCGACATTTCATTAGCCCTTCTGCATATTGACTTGTTTGTAATTATTTTAATTATAATTTTTTTTTTTCCCTCTCTACCAGTTCAGGGATTAATCGAGCTTGTGATTGCTAGTTGCACAACGGACACAAAGTCACAATGTTGCTTCAGCTGCACTAGTTGTGACTTGACAAAAATCCCCATTTCCGTCACAGTTGGAGGAGCTGCCTAAAAAAAATAAAAAAAATTAAACCAACACAAACGGTCCTTTGCAGAGTACTGTGGAGAGCGTCCTAATTAATTGTGGCCTCTGATTCTCTCTAACGCATCCAGCAGAAATGCTGACCAATAATATTTAGTTCTAGTTTAAAGTGCAGTTTTCTGTCACATTGTTTTCATTTTTGACATTGTGTGATTACTAGTTGTTGTAAGGTTAATACTGGATCGCATAGCTAGTTTAATTCGACCTATTCTTGGCCAGTTGGTTGGGACAAAGACATCACAGATATCCCCAATAACAATATTGATGCCTCTGGCATTAGGAAGAGTCTATCGAATGGTAATTGTAGTGTTAGTGTCATACAAACATTGATTTTAACATCAAACATCATTTTTAACTCTGAAGATTAGTTTGCCAAGCCTATACTATTTATGTAATTTGGGGTCCTTTAACCCCTTAAGGACACATGACATGTGTGACATGTCATGATTCCCTTTTATTCCAGAAGTTTGGTCCTTAAGGGGTTAAAGCAAAGTATTCTTCTAACACAAGTTTATTTTAACAAATTTAAAATGACATGATTTCATCTCTACTTTGTGCTAGCAAATATATAGATTAGGAGAGAAAGCTATTTAAATTAGGTCCATCTCCCAGCTGTTAATCTGTTGTTCTGCATAGACCTGTACGCTAATATGAGCGTGTGGTTACGTTCCACAGGGGACACTCTACAATTTTCAAGCTCTTCCTTGTTGGATCTTTCCAAACCATTGTGTTGGAATTATACTGCAAGAATAAGACTGAAATGACCTCCAATGTATGACCTGTGAGAGAACCAATTTAAGATGTGAATTTCTGGGGGTAGCTATGCAAGTAGAATGTATGTAGAGCGCACAGTTTTATTGAACATTCATACTGATTCTGTGATACTTTATTTCCCCCTCTTATAGTACCGAGCCTGGCTGCGGCAGGAGTACGGGAGAAATCCTTTTGATGACCAAGGCACAGTGGAGATGTTGGTTTCCCAACAAAAGCAAAAGGAACAACTGAGACATACACAGTACCACTGGATTAACCAGCCTAATATAGAGTATCCACTCCCTTACAGAGCCTATGGATCCAGCAACAAATGGACGAATACCTAGGTGGGGGTCAGCCGCACGTGCCCTGCCTGGAGGTACCTCTACCAAAGAGACATTCGTTTTTACCACTGTGTGTTTGTGGTTGTTTGCCTGGGAAGGAAATTATTAAAGAGAACCATTAATCTATCTTGCACTATTAACAGGACTGAGCAGTGCCTGTGTGATATTTCTTTTGCAAAATAAAGTTTATATTCTTATTTGAACAATTATAATGTTTACCAATGTTTTGTGTTTCTGTAAAAAAAAAATAAATAAATAAATAAAATAAAAAAAATATATATATATATATATATATATATATATATATATATATATATATATATATATATATATATATATATATATATATATATATATTCACAATTGGTTCTAGTTTAAAAGACTTAATACAGCTTGTGAGTGTGGGGTAAAGGAGATATATAGATAAAAACACACAATGGGTCAGCGCTTAATAAGGGGGATCCCTCTAAACCCTTCAAAATAACAGACAGAGAAAGAAAACAAATAGGGAAGGGCTGTGCTACAAAAAATAGTACTTAGTCTCGTCCCAACAGTGCACATTGTCACATACGAAGGGATCTCTTATGCAGCTGTGGTTTCTGAGTTCTTTATACTTGGGGGATGTGGAAGGTCGGAGTGTCTTCAGTCTCCATATGTGGATAAAGAGAAGACAAAGTAACCCAATAGTGCAATATGTCAGGGCTTGACAGACAACACGTAAATAATAAAGATATTGCACTCACATGTGTTTCTTTCTCTGACTGTCTCTTCTCCCCCGCCCCCCAACCACTCTCTGTCGGCGTCCCCAAGGTTCTGTCCTTGGTCCTCTACTGTTCTCTATCTATACTGCCTCCCTTGGGAAACTCATCAGCTCCTTTGGCTTCTGTTATCATTTCTATGCAGATGACACGCAAATCTACCTGTCCTCTCCTGATCTCTCTCCACCCATCTTGACTCGTGTCTCTGACTGCCTCTCTTCGATCTCCAACTGGATGGCTGCTCACTCCTTAAACTCAACCTGTCCAAAACAGAACTTCTGGTCTTTCCTCCCTCAAGTGTTACTACTTCTGTGTCTGTCTCCCTCCAAGTCAACGGCGCTACCATCACCTCTACCTCACAGGCTCGCTGCCTGGGTGTTCTTTTTGACTCCAACCTCTCCTTTACCCCTCATATCCAATCAATCACCAAATCCTGTCGCTTCCATCTCAAAAACATAGCGTGCATTCGCCCCTATTTAACCCCAGATGCAGCAAAGGTGCTGGTCCATGCTTTTGTTCTCTCTCGCCTTGACTTCTGCAATAACCTTCTCAGTGGTCTTACATGTTCCCAGATTGCACCGCTGCAATCTATAATGAATGTGGCGGCAAGGCTCATTTTCCTGTCCGCTCACACCTCCCACGCCTCCCCGCTCTGTCAGTCCCTGCACTGGCTTCCAGTTAAATATAGGGCTCAATTTAAAATTCTGGTGCTTGCTTACAAGTCCCTACATAATGCTGCTCCAACCTACCTATCCTCCCTAATACACAAGTATGTCCCGTCGAGGCCCCTACGCTCTGCCAAAGACCTACGTCTATCCTACGTCCGTACTCCCACCTCTGATGCTCTCCTCCAAGATTTCTCCAGGGCTGCACCTCTTCTGTGGAATGCCCTTCCCTTCTCTGTAAGACTTTCACCCAGTCTCCACTCATTCAAAAAATCATTGAAAACTCACTTCTTTAAGAAAGCATATCGGTTAAACTATAAGCAGGTTTTTATCCCCCACCCCCATGACTCCTCTCCTGCAACTGTCCAAAATTACCTACTAAACCCTCACTGGATACTTTTCTAACAACCTACTTCGTACCCCTACTTTTACCGTTTGTGTCACTATACCCAACTCCCTCTAGAATGTAAGCTCATTGAGTAGGGCCCTGCACCTCTCTGTTCCTGTACGTCCAATTGTCTGGTTAAAATTACATGTCTGTTAGTCCACCCAATGCACAGCGCTACAGAATGTGATGGCGCTATATAAATAATTAAATAATAATAATAATAATGTAAAAGAGCTATGACCAGCTCTAGTGTATATCGCATGGTATAATCCCCACTTGTGGGATATGATGATGGTCTTTCACAGCAGTTGGTTGTCTAGGTGCTCAGAAAAGAAATAAAAAAAATAGCCACAAATAGTGCTCTCAGTAATATAATAAAAAGTAAATAAAATAAGCAGAATTGTACTCGCAAGCTGAGAGTAGGTGTGATAAAAATAGTTTTGATAAAATAGATAAAATGTCAGGAAGTATAAATAGGTTATTGAAATAAAGAGGTAATAGTACAATAGAATATTGTGAAACCAAAATCCTGTAAAAAATCTAAAAAGTAATGTCCATAACGCGTTTCACCATGTAGGCTTTCTCAAATGCCTACATGGTGAATAGATTAGATAGCCACTAGAGGAGGACTTAACCCTGCAAGGTAATTATTGCAGTTTATAAAAACTGCAATAATTACACTTGCAGGGTTAAGGGTGATGGGAGTTGGCACCCAGACCACTCCAATGGGCAGAAATGGTCTGGGTGCCTGGAGTGTCCCTTTAAGAGACACTTTACTAGGCAGTGTAGCCGCTTCTCATTGAATTGGTTACAGTGTTGGGAGTCCCCTGGTGTCACTAAACATGGGTCCCCAGCAGCCAATTTTGTCTGGGCTGCTGGTCTAATAGGAAGCAATTGGTGGCTGTGAATGTCAGCTGACCACTCTCCGCCCATCACAGCCACCTATTAAAGGTGTCAGTTGGTATAACAAAGACCGTATAATCTCTGCCTTAGCCAAAGTAGGGCCTGGGCTATGGGTAGTCACGGACCCTCATTCATTGTTAAACTACTCAAAAATGAGGGTCAGTGCCACGGGACTCTGGACACTATAACACTATTGAAATGGTTATAGTGCCTAGAGCAGGGGTGCCAAAAAAAGTAGATCCCCAGGTGTTTTAAAACTACAGATGCCATGATGCTTTCTCATTATAGAGCCATGCAAAGCATTATGGGAGTTGTAGTTCTAAATCCTATGAGGATATACTTTTTGGGCACCCCTGGCCTATATAGTCCCTTTAAACTATTAAGAACCACTGACCGTTTATGCTCTAATAATAATCTTTTGTAAAAGATTTCCAAAATGGTACGACCCACTTAAAGATTGCATGTGTTTATAGAACAAGCCATACTAAACTACATGTAGGCATAATAAGACTTTTTTTTGGACTAGTTGTGAGGGTAGCATGCAGGGCCGGACTGGGGATACAAAGCAGCCCTGGAAAAAAAATCTATGCCAGCCCCATAAGTCATTGTGCCATATATTGTCAAATGTAAAATGTAGCACCTACGTTTAGCATCTCCACGCTCTGCATGGAGGTGCTGAATGTACCCCATAGAAATGCATTCATTCAATTTATCTCTATGAGGAGATGGTGATTGGCGCAGCATGACGTTTTGCCACACATGTGCAATAGCCTCCCAATGCTTTCCTATGGGAAAGCATTGGATTGGCTGAGTCAGGGAAGCAGGGCCAACTGCGGCGATACCAGCACAGTGTGGGGGGGAAAAGGTGCGTAAAAACCCCTTACCCATGTAATTGGAGGGGGTCTGGTCACCTAAACTCACACAAGCTCAGTCACTAGCAGTCACACACAAGCTCACTCACTAGCATCTTGTTATTCTGAGCTTTTAGTAATAAACATGGTCTAGATATTCTGTGGCCACCCTTTACTTTTCCCGGCGAATGAGTCATTGGCACAATGCCACACCTACAATTGAACAGATATGATGATATGCTTCTAAAATCTCGCTTTAGAAGGATCTGGTTATATATGCAGTGGAGAACCCCAGGCTTTATCAAACTGTTCCAAAACAATCTGACAGAATTCATGAGTGGTATGCACCGACTAGTAGAGCTATAACCAATGACACACGTACACACAAGCTTACTCACTAGCAGGCGCGCGCACACACGTGCGTGCAAGCTCACTCACTAGCAGACACACACACTCTCACTCAAGCTCACTGTCCTGGATGAAGCTTACCTGTCACTGGTAGGTGAAGTTGCCATCCAGCAAGGTCAGCAACGTTTAGTGGGGGCGGAGCTTGCATGCGGGAGGCGAAGCTTGCACTCAGGTGGTGAAGAGACTTCCATGTGGGGGGAGGGGCATGTGGCCGAAGTTGCTGTAAAAAGGTAAAGGAGACTGACAGGTCTCCCTCCGGCCGCCAGTTGCCTAATTTGGGCCGCACCCGCCCCCAGCTCCTCCCTCTTTACTCCCCTCGGACTGACACAGGCTGGTACAGTCTAAGGGGGAAATTTTTTTTTAATTAAAATAGCCAGGATATTCCTGTGGGCCAGTCTGGCCCTGGTAGCATGTAATATTTGGTCCTTCAGGGGTTAAATAGATCATCAAGCCTAGTGTAGAAAAAAATAATAATAAAAGCTTGAATTGACTGTTCCTTGAATAAACAATTTAATGCTGATGGAATATCGATGCACTGAGTGAAACGGAGAGTGTTTATAAAATACATAGGAGGTTCCATAGAACAAAGGAAAGGAACCGATCACAAACTGATAAAATGTAGATAAGACATTTGTGTGGATGGTTTAATAAAGGGATCTAACTGAAAGAAGAAGTCTAACCGAAAAGGGAGCGTTCACCTGATACAAACAATAAAAGGTTTCACAATGAATAAGGAAGGTCAGGCTGATGGGCTCCCCAATCGTGTCCTCGCACACCCATTTGTTCAGCTTGAGTTTCAGTCAGTTTGACAGAGGGTAAACTTGTCAGAATAAGTAAATCATTGATCCACGCACACTAAAACAGGCTGACACTTCTAGTATTCTAGCATATAAAACTCAATATTCTTCCTATCTGCAGGGCCTGGTCACAGATTGTCCATAATGGCTACTTGCAATCACAGCCAGACCCAGGTTCATGTCCATGTTGCTTTCCTATGCCGGCTGTAACTTAACACAATCCTTGATTTTCCTCTGCCTGAGAGAGATTATATTTAAAGTGGTCATCAAAATTATTAAACCTCCCATTGAAAATCAGGTTTATTGTCATAATTGACAGACTTTCAGCTATTTGCAATAAACAAATCAGACAAAAGCAATTGAAATAGCTCAACACGACGAATCCTTCAAGTGGTTTCTGAAAATGCAACTTATACTGAGGTCTCCAGTCTCAAAATTATTC